TGCAAGAGGGACGCGCTGACGTCATGCAGTCTGCCATGCCGTCGTTTGGTTCAAACTATGCCTATTCCAGGGTGGCCTATTCTGATGTGCATAAGCAATGGAAGGGTGCCCGTGAAGAGTTGATTATGGTTGAATTTCCATACTATGTACTGTATACTGCATGGAGCTAGTGATAAATATGTTGGATTATTTTTTGACGAGCGTCCTAAAGAAGAAACACGTTGATCATACTTAAAAGAAAAAGAAAGAAAAAAAAAACAATTGAAAGTTGGTTCAACATTAGATTTAGAAGTGACGCGAATTTAAAATTACGCCAAAAGGTTTATATATGTTCTCCAGCTGGCAGGATTTAAGGTGTTAAATACGAGAAGTTAAAACCACATCAAAAACACGTATATAATGCCGTTCGAAAAACTGTATCAATTTGTTACTATAAGCAAACATTATTATTCTATTACCACTTTTAAGAAACTCTTCAAAACCAAACCTATAAAGCGCTGCCAAGGACACTTACAAATCGCAGGAAGATGACAAGCTTCCAGAGGATTTCGCGAGTCTTACGTCACCAAAGGAAGCTAAAAACAAAAACCAGTAAAAAAGTGAACATAGATAAAATAAGGAGAGCGTGTTCGTGTTTGTGGTTGTGCGTTGTCCACCCGCTGGCGTTTTGAAAAAACCAAGAAAAATTAAAAAAGTGGTGTCTTGAAAACGATGATCACTATACGTGACACATTGTTTTGATGTTTGTATTATAATTTCTTTTTTGTAGATATAAGATGTACAGATACGTAATGTGTCCGTCGTGTTAGGATTTTCCTTGTGTGTGTGTGTGTGTGTAATGAGAAGTGTTGGCATGCAGTCAGTCGCGCTCTTTTTCTGCTTTTTTTTTTTTTATTGTTGCATTACAGCGATCCCACGGTTCGCGTTTTTCGCGCCGTTGACCCAAAACTGCCCAGAACATTTCACGGGCCGATGATAACAAGATAACATGCATAGTCATGCAAGGTAGCAAGATAACATGCGTGGTCAGTAAAACAGTCCCAGCCGGGATAAGCTGGCAGTGCACCATGCGACAGGTGCCCGAAATTAGCACAAACAACGATTCTCCGGAGATACGCGGGTAAAACTGCCTTGGATTTTTACCATGCATTCTATATCAACAAGCAAGTGGAGAGCAGAAGAGTATGCACTTGAGCTAGTTGGTGATTCAATATGTTAAAGTAACTAGCCCACCTTAATATTTTGGTGATTCATAGTCGAGAGGGTAAAATCACTAATAAACAAAACAAAAACAACAACGGAAATTAACAAAGAAACCGCAACGCGCTATATACTTGCAACTAAAGTTTACTCACGGAAAAAAAAAAAAAAAAAAAAAAAAAAATATATATATATATATATATATATATATATATATATATATATATATATATATATATATATATATCGTGAAATCAAGACATGTGATGGCAGAAATGTGACATTATCAAACCAATGATTATCTACCTGCTATCTACTTTTCGAAAGATATTAAAGACGCCACTTCAGAGTCAAACAGGGGGAAAGCAAGTGTGCCCCGCGTCTGACAGATGCAGAGTTTTATTTTCTTCACGAATAGCCACAAAGATGGTATTTATAGTGCGTGTTTGCTTCAATAAACCTTCATTCGAGGGTGCACTTGGTCCGTCGTTTAGCATGCGGGGACTATTTGTACCGAAGTGACAGACGAAAACACGCTCTCCTCTTACGCAGACAGCTGAAAATGCTCTCTATGCTTCATAAGACACCTTATTCACTGGTTCCAAAACGCTAAGGAATTTTCGTTCGGTGTGTTACTCAGTTTAATACGAAACGGGGGCCTATGCGGACTCTACGGTGCGTGCTCGCACCTTTACCGTTCATTCGGTCCATATGTTCCGAAATAGCGGCTCCCACGTCGCTATTAACAAACGCACAAAAGCAATGAGACGTTTCAAGACGGAGTAAACTGTCGTTTTACTCCCCCCCCCCCCCCCCCCCCCCCCCGCCCTAAAAAAAAAAAAAATAGAAGCATATGAGTTAGCGCCAATCCGTCGTATTAGCGTCGATGCGCTGATGCATAAAAAGAGATAATTAAAAACAAAACAGCGCAAAGACGAGGAAGTAAAAGGTAACCGAGAGGACAGTCTGGTCGGTTACCTTTTACTTTGTCCTCGTCTTTGCGCTGTTTTGTTTTTAATTATGTCTGCATACCAATTAGCCCAAACTTCTACGTTAATCAATCATACAAGGAGCACTATGGACAATACAAGGGAACACGACACACGATACTTGAAGTTAATTGTACTTAAAACACTACTTCAATTACGTTTAGAAAACGTGTTTGAAGTATACTTTCTCCGAGTATGTACTTGTACTTTACTTTGAAGTCTATTTTCTGGTACTTTCCGAGTAAAGTACAACTCTGAACTTCAAAATGCAATGCCCAAATTTGGTCTTGTTAAACTTGTATCACAAAATCACACTTTGTCAACTCTAAAGATATACTGGGAGGGATATTCTACTCCTACCAGAACGCAAGCAAAAACGCCTGTATACCAGTAAAAAAAAAGGGGAAAAAAAAGAAAAGGACAATTGATGATGAAAGGGCATCATAAAGAGAACATACTTGTACTTTACTTTAAAACTATATTGTATTTATAGTATTTCACTTCAAGTAGATTGCTCCCGGTTTACTAATACATCCCTTGAAGTATCGCCTCTAATATATACTTCCTACTTTACTTCAGATACTTTTACTTTACCCAACACTGGTTCTTGATATACTTTCCACGGGTCTCTGTCGTCGGTTTCAAAATTCTCAACGTTCAATTTCGCAGACTCCCAGACGCTACAAGAACACCAAAATACAAAATGAAAACGAGCAATAACTAACCTATAATACATGCAAGGACGAAGTCCAGCCGGAGGTCAGCCCCCGTGGGAGGTACTAATGTGTCGGAGCAGATAGCCGTTCCGAATATGCGACATATTCCCCGTGTCACCTTATACGACGGGACGCAGTGGACGGTACACCAGCCATCACAGCCAATCCGTCGCTGTGGACGTACCACGTGACCACGCACCCCGCACATCTCTGTTCCCCCTCCCGAAGATCACGTGACGCCCGCCCAGCATCGGAAAGGCTTTGATACGGCTCGTAGCGTCCTCGACAGTCCATCGTAAGGTAACACGTAGTCTCCACAGACCGCTGCCGTCGTCGCAGTTGGTCGTTGGGACAAGCGGTTGCGGAGTTGGACGGCGCGCCGTGCGGAGCTGCGCAGCCCACGTGTACGTGCTGGGTGTGGGGGGCAACCTTTTCTGGGCCGAAACGGGAGCAAAGTGGCGTTGCGACACTCCTCCTCGCGTTGCCCTTGTGTCTGGAAAACAAGAGGTTGGCGCGGAGTGATTCACGCTTATTTCCAAGGGCAGGTGACACGGCCTGCTGCCTGGTAAACGCGCGGCGCGCGCTTGAGGTTTGTTTTTGACCGCTGTCGCCGTTGTCTTTGAGCTAAACTCTTTAATAGCGAGTTTTGACAATGCACCAAAATTCGCCTCTTGAACTTAGCGTTAGGGAGGAGGAGGGGGAGAGGGTGACGCGTGCGACGCTCCCATTGGTCTGAAACGCTGACGTCAGGACGCATCAACCTCTCCTTCTCTCCACAGCTCTGACAAACGGACAGACACCGTCGTGTTTTCGTTAAAACGAGCCCTTTGGTTTTCGTCAAAGTCACGCGCACAGCCGGCGCGCAGCCAGAGAAGAGAAGGCACCGCGGAACACCTCATAGATAACAAAGCCGTAGTGTTGAATGAGATAGCGTCATCAGAGAAGGCCAACGCTGGACACAGATGGGAAACGAGTGCTGCGTCAGCTCTCGGCTTCGAGTCAAGTTTGAGCCGAACGTTGACGTAATTGTCGTGTCCAATCTGTGCCAAGCGTTGGCCTCCTCTGATGGCGCCATCTCATCCAGCACTACGGCTTTGTCATCTACATGAGGTGTTGCGCCGCTACGCGGTGGGGTGCGGGCGTGCTCAGTTGCCGCTCTGTCGTCGCCGGTTGTTCTTCGCTCTGGGTCTCCATATAGTGGCGGTGCGTGGGCTGTGATGTGTGTGTGTAGTTACAAGGATGGACGCGGTTTCCTCCAGCAGTGATATAGATGCGGTTCCTTTCACAAGGGCGTCGACGTACTCTGACAAACAGAGTTCAGAAAAGGGGGTGAAACAAATTAGAGAAAGATGCATTGGTGGATTCTTAGGGAATCCGTTAGCATACCCTTGGGAAACGCCACACACGTCCGCGTTGGGGAAACGCTAACTCTAAACCCGTAACGTGGCCAAAATAAGGCAGCAAAACACAGAGAAGCAAGAGAAAAGTGAAGGGGTCAGTGTTAGCTTTTCCCAAGGGCACGCTAACGGATTCTCTAAGAATCCACCAATGGATCTTCCTGTCTTTCTTTTTTTTTTTTATCGGTTTAGAATTATTTTTGAAAGGGGAATTTGCTTTAGGATATTTACGCTTTGGGGCCAATTCGGACGGCATGGCGGACACTAGCAAAGAGGCGAAATGGGTTAATTGCTGATATCATTGTTGATATTATTATCAACACTGAAGTAAGATCAATCGCGGATCAAGAAATTCTCAGTGTTGGTTTAAATAAAGTGAATGAGTGGTGCGAGGAGTGGCAAATGTCTCCAGACTTCAATAAAGAAGTAGAGGGGTGGCAGAATAGAGGAATGGGTGGCACTTTTTGTTACAGTCCGTTGCAACTCAAGAAGGTAGGGAGAGGGGAAGACGGGCCAGGGAGAAGGAAGCAGATGGAACGCTTAAGGTGGTTTCCCCTCTCTTCTACAGCGTTCCGTCTGCTTTCTCCTCCCCGGCCCGTCTTACCTCGCCCTACCTTCTTGACTTGAAACGGAATATACATAGTTCACGGAGTGCAAAAACCGCAAACAACAAAAAAGGAAGGAAATAAACTGACGAATTAATTTTAGTTTTTATTGCAAACATGAATTATAAAGAAAATAAAAGGCGACGAAAACGGCACTTTGATCCGAAAACTTGGATGTTCATGGAGCTTCATCAAGTCTGATAAGGGGAAGAAAAAATAAACCCAATATGGACAAACTTGTTTTCTTTCTTTAAGTCACTAGCACACCACCTTCGCACTCACACAAAATTCGAGCAAATCTGCCCAATCTAAAAGAACAATATCAGGTCTCTCGTTAACAAAAGGCACGTTGGCCAAAACAAGAACTGATTTTCCCGAATAGTCGTGACCTGGCTTTAATCAATGAAGCTAACTCCGATTTGGCCTGGAAAAGTGAGGCATACCACAGTCGAAGAGAGTTGGCCGGCTGCCAAGCCCTTAAATCAATTGTGCCTTAAAACACAATTAAAAAAAAAAGAAAACAACTAAACGAGAAAGAAACGATACACAAGGAGAACTATCTCTAAACTTGCCAATAAGTTGACTCCTTCATTCTCCAGTGTCAATAAACGTCTTTTTACTCACTCACGTGGCGACGCTACACAGGGCCACTGTAACAGGGCGTCGCGTGCCTGGCTGGAAGGCTAAGACTGGAGTCAGTGTCAACTGCATTACTCATAAAACGCAATTCTGCATATGACGGTCTGATCAATAGATCAAAATTCTTCTTTTTTTTTTTTTTTTTGCTGTTTTTGTAGCAAAATTTTAGGAAAACTCGATGATGACATTGGTCGTTCGAGACTGACAAAACTTTCAAAATTCCAGAATTAGAAAGAAGATATATTTAGGAAGCACACAAGAGTTAGATCAGGCGAGACCAACATTTTTTTTGGCAATAGCACCTTTGATATATAAAAAAAAAATTATTTCTCCATCCGAATGTTATGTGAAACAAATACTATATGGAGCAAACCTGGCCTCTAGGTTTTGGTGCCTATTGCCATATATTCAGTGTTGGGAAGAACTTTAAGTATAATGTACACAAAGTACTAACTTCAGGTAGGTCTAGAAAACTTGAACTTTACATTATCTGAGTGTGTACTTGTACTTATTTTTCCTGGTAATTTCCGAGGAAAGTACAACTCGCGACTTCAGAGTACATTCCCCGAATTTGGTCTGGTTAAATTTGTATCACTAAACGATACTTCGTCAATTCTGAAGAAATACTGGGAGGCATATTCTACTCTCACTAGAAGCGCGACTCTCTCAGGGTGAAGTAATGGCGGCTATAAGACTGATACAAATAAGTGCCTTACTAGTTGACTTTGCCAGTGAGAGTGAAACAACTATACTCTGGCCACTTCACTTTATCCAATATTCGCCACCATTTCCAAAAATAACTGATGCACCTCAGTTACCCCTAAAACAATGCATACAAAAATCTTTCAGCCTTTCCACTCTGTGAAGAAGGAAGACCAGCAAAGCAGTACTATGGTGGGACGACCTCAAGGACGACGCTTAGAGGACGACGTCTAGGATGACCTCAAGGACAACTTCTAGGATGACCTCAAGAGCGACGTCTAGGACGACCTAAAGGACGACCTCGAGGACGACGCTTAGAGGACGACGTCTAGGATGACCTCAAGGACAACTTCTAGGATGACCTCAAGAGCGACGTCTAGGACGACCTAAAGGACGACCTCGAGGACGACGCCTAGGACAACCACAGGGACGACATTGAGAACGACCTCAAGGACGACGTTTATGAAGACCTCAAGGAAGACCTCTAGGACGACCTCGAGGACGACGCCTAGAGAAATTCAGCCTTTTCACCCAGGTAAAAACCAGAGTGAAAAGGCTGGAGAGGTTGCCGCCATCTATGAGCGAGGCCGGTAAGCCGGTTGCCTGGTTGCCGCCGTCGCTCATAGATGGCGGTAGCTGTCCAGAGTATTGTGTAGACATTTGTTTGGTACCGGACACGATCCTGGGGAACCTAGCCCTTAACAGCTCCGCTGCAAAAAAAAAAAGATAGGACAGGGGTTTTAAACTTATTTGAGTGCAGAGGCCAGCAGATAGCCTACCCCAAAAGGTTGAGGGACAATGTAAGGGAGGGGAGACAATATTTTGCTATTTTGAAAAAACAAAACAAAAAAACATTAGTGGTGTTTTATGTTGCAAAGCAGCCGACTGTCCAAGAGACACCACAGAGATTTCCTGGACAGTACCTTGTGCTCTCTGTATTTTGTAAGCTCACCATTTTACTATATTTAGCACACAATCCTTGCCCTGTCGCACAATTCACTAAACTCAACAGGCATAGAAATAAAAAAAAAAAACTCTGCATACGGCAGTTTTTGCTTTCCTGACGTCTTTTTATAGCCACATTATAAGAAAATACTTGCATTTTAAAAGCATTTTTGGACAGCTAGAAACCTAAACTAATATAGCTTTGACTTTACCAGTTCCTCCTGTCGAGCGAGAGTTTGTGCAGCTGAGGTGCCTCTTTGATCAAAGAGCTCACGCTTGCAGCCTAGTAGTGGTATTGCCGTGCCAGTTGATTTACACGAGAAAGGACTAATAATCAAATATTTAGACAAAGCAATACCCACAAGAAAACAGAATAATGCGAAACATAACCAAGTTATACGAGCAGAGCTCCTTTTGAAGTGGAAATGAATCGACGATATTAAACTATTGTTTTTCACACATGTTGCGCTCAAGGCATGTAAAGGGAACTCACAGCTGCGGAAACCGCGTGGGCCATGTTCTAAACCTGGGGTCTCAAACATGCGGCCTGTGGGCCACGTGTTTGAGACCCCAGTTATAGGGGAATAAAAGGGCATCATGAAAGATTGTTAAAAAGTTCTTGTACTTCAGTTAAATACCTCGTATTTATAGTACTTCACTGCAAGTACACTGCACTCAGTGTACTTACTACTTTACTTGAGGTACATAACCTTTAACTTACTTTGCACTTTATTTCGAGTACTTTTTAGATGTACTTTACCCAACACTGCATATATGGCATTGAAAAGAGCTGCATTATTTGGTATGGGCTGGATTGTTCACGCAGAAAAAATGGTATAGGTTGGCTTGATCATACAGTAAAAAGGGAAAGCATTTTTACTGCATGAACTAAGACAAAAAAAAAAGTGAAACCGTTTACAACTCCCTGTAACGCCAAATTAGAGCGCAGCTCTTGAGGAGGAGGAGGGAAGGGTACTAAGGTGCACGTGTTCTCAAGGGGGAGGGGTGGGGGTCACGTGACCTCCTCCCCCCCCCCCCCCGAGGTCACATGACCCTCCCACGTGACCTTGGGGAGGGTGGTCACGTGATTTGGGGGGGGGGAGGTCACGTGACCCCCCCAGTGACGTGACCCCCAGAGAAATTTTTCCGCTACATTTAGCGGGGAAATTTTTTCGCTACATTTAGCGGGAAAACCTTTCCGCTAGATTTAGCGGGGAAATTCACCCATAATGCATCGCGCGGTTACGCTGACGGCGACAGCGACACCGCTCAAGCTGGAAACGGACGCATAAGAGCTGCGCTCTAAAAATACAGAAAGGGACCATATTGACAAAACAATAAATGGAGAACTGCCATGACGAATGACCAAAAAAAGAGGAGTCAGTTTTTTTTGCGAAAAATTTTCACTATAACAGTATCTTCACTACATTATAGTACCTCTAATTCAGCTGTGCTTCATTGCAGCCCCCAATCATTTTTTTTAACCTTGCCACAAGGATCGCGAGAACGTCCAAAAATACAAGCTGCTCCCGACCCCCCCCCTCCCCCCCCAAGAAAAAAAAAAGAAAAGGGATCAAGCAGTTGAAATATAAAGATTCCAAGAAAACACCACTCAGTATAGTACCTTGAGGTTTACAAGGCAATACCGAAATGGTGGCAATGTGGTGAGTACAAACCAAGTTCGAGAAATCAAGCAACGAGTTGTAGTGCCCAAATTTTAGTAGCTGTTATACATTAACTTTACGGGGTAAGCAATATTCTATTGAACACACCCAAAAACTTTTGGCATAAACAAAAAAAGAAACGGCCGGTTGCTTGTATCTATATTCTCAGTCTATCGGGCTTTACTATTGAGAGGTTGTGCTCTAAACAAATGAATGAACACAGAAGTCCCAGGCATCAGGCAGTGGCGTAGCTAGGGTCAGCACAGCTGTACCACCCCGAGCGCTGCACTCAAATGGTCTGCCGCGCCCCCCCCTTCTAGCGACGCCACTGGTCTCAGGTCCATTTAAGTTAGTACTCATCACAAAGAAGCTCAAACTGAGGCTATGCGACAGCTTGAATCTTCCGTGTAGCTCAGCCTGAGAAAAGCAGAAAGAGACGCAAATGCATTGCGATTGCTAACATTAAGCCAGTTCAATAACCAACGTAGCAGACCACAGAAAAGAGGTGGAAAAAAAAAGTTTGTTCATTCAGCAGCCAGAAAAAAGACAATTACAGACTTCTCACAAGTTCAGTTTCAAATATACTGGCAAGCCCCATCCAAAAACCAGAAGCCTTGCAAGCCACATCTAATGTGGGTTGTGCAGAACTCAAGCGCAACACCGATAACGAAGAGCTTTCAACACTGCACAACAAGGGCCCTTACAAATTCCTTCGAAAGCTTGTCAAGTTTAGAAACACTTCGACGAAAGTGACCTTTTTTTTTTCCAACGTTATGACGCAAAACGTTTATATACCTTGGCCACCATTTACCATCCGACGCATGTCGACGCAAGTCACTTTCTCCAAACATTACAAAACGTGGTGCAGGTTTAGCAAAACAAACGCCTCGATTCACAGTCGCTGTCGCACCCAATGTTCCGTCACCAGGACTAGGACTTCTATTTGCCAGCACCGGTGCAAACAATCCCTAAAAGAAAAAAAGCATGTTTGTGCAGTGGTGGCAACTTTCTTCCGTCTTAGTAGCTAGAGTGTCAAGAAATGCCTGCAAACAAAGCCTTCCCTCCAGAAAAGGGATGCGCATGCACACAAATAAAAAAAGTCAGCACAGGCGAGGAAGGACAAGTCCAGCAAACTCAGGAATCACAAGTGTCTTCGGGCACGGGGAGGGCACTGAAGTGTTTGAGGGCCGCCATGGCATTCTCCATGCCGATGTTGTACACTGGATGCACAGTGACCTGGAAGCATTGAGTAAATAAGGGCTCAAATTTCACAACAGTCATTTCGATGAACCAGTTTACGATTCAAAACAGATATCCAAGGGACAGTGAAGACACGTCTAAATATCCGAGCCACAAGCTCACAGAAACGGCATGCCGCACTTTAATGTCTCTTGATTCAAGGCTCTTGGCCCACTTTACAACCCATGTTAGAATTAGTGAACTTTAGAGTAAAGAAAGGAAGGGAAAGAAGATTACAAAAAAAAACAAAAAAACATAACCGAGATTGCAGAAGGATGCAAACGAGATCTGAACCGAGGCAAAACGGACGATCGAGCGTGACAGGTCCTCGATTGTTGTAGATAGTTGTAATAGTTATAAATAAATTATGGCAGTTGCTTAAGAATGTTACCTTCATCTGTTTAGAAGCAACAAAAGCCTACATTTGCTGCTGAACAGGACAAAGCAGAACTTACTTTTCTGTAATTTAGTAATAGCTATGGTCATATTTCGATTACGGGCTACAAATATCTCATGGGAACATGCCAGCTAAAGGCTGGCTACACCTGCATTAACCGAAATGACAGCGACACTGGAAAAACCGCAACATGTCACAGCTTGACAAAGCTACTTCTTGCATTTTTTGTCACATTTTGTGAACTTGCATTCATCCTGGGAACTTAGTCAGTCGTGTCATTTCTGTTGCTCTGAACTGCCACAAGATGAATATTTAGTTTATAAAAAAATTCAAGTAAATACCTTGTCAGCTATCACATCACATTTGTGCCCAAATGTCTGCCACAAAATGAATAAATTCTTGACTTTGAGGGCTATATCTTTTAGATTGCTTTCAGTCTAAAACTTAGACCAGTGGGGGGCTGAGAGAAACCACATAATGGGCTGCAAAATGGGTTGTGTTTTAGTCGTGCGAATCAAGCATTTTGAGTTTGAAGCAGCAAATAGTGGTTTTGGCACAATATTTTCAAAATGAAAATCAAATAATTTCCCAGTCTCACTACATTGCATCATGCTTAAACGAAAATTCAGCTGAACTCGTGAAGGTTTTTCCCAACCTTTCCCTTGTCCACTTCTTAAGTCAGTTAATTTTAATATAACTATGTGAATTGTGACAATTAAATGACAGCTTTGTTGCAGCTATCCTAATCGAGGCAATTTATAAATCTGCTAGCAACATGCAAGTATTCTTTCTTCTCTTTCAAGGTTACAAAAACAAAAATAAAAAGCACGAATGATGAACACGGGCTGTCAAGGCATCGCTGCCTAACGTATATACTCTTGCATATTCGCGGCCGATTAGCCCCGTTGAGTGCGCTCCTCTCCGAGCACCTGTGCACTGCGGGGAAGCAATTCCCGCGGAGTCCGCGATCTCCGCGGGTGCTGCCGCTCCGCAGTGCACAGGGGCTCGGTGAGAAGCGCACTTAACGGGGCAAACTGGCCGCGATCAACACTCGTAAAAGTACGAATATCGCAGTTCACCTCGAAGTGATCGCGTGTTACACGCAACTACTATTCGAAAATTTGAATATTCGCACAGCACTAGTTGTGTGCTAAATTAATGGTGAATTAAGGCAGGTTCACACATCTGAGTGTGATCGGCCGCATTGACACAGCTTACGACGAGAGAATGCACTAACGCCACCTATCGCGTGGCCCTAGAACACTTCCAGTCTTAGTAATGTAACTTAACTGGAGACAAGTGTGTTTTCACATCGTAAGAGGCCACAAGCAATTGCAATCAGTTGATCACATTCAAACGAAAATAAGTGAACCAGCTTTTGGCCTTGTACTATTTGAGTGTGTTGGTGCTTTTTAAACATTTAGAAAGTGGAGACACATAAGGGACGATACAGACAGGACAATCTTTGTCCTGTCTGTATCGTCCCTTATGTGTCTCCAGCTATTAGTGTTCTGAACAAACACGAAAAAAGTTAAATGCCGCCTTAATGTCTCCCCTGACAAAGTCAACAAGATAAAACCCGAATAATGGAGAATTATCTGGGAAAGAACTTCCAGATGCTTTCAATAAATATTTCGTGAACATTGTAAATCACAATGTAATGGATAATGATCTTTCCAACATTCCATCCAACCGAAATTCTATTTTTCTTAACCCTGTTGACGGAAATGAAGTACTTACTGCAATTATAAATCTAAGCAATAGCATGGCTAAAGATAATGGTGGTTTTCAGATGAAACCAATTATGCACACTGCAGACTTTCTTGCCCCTTACGTAACGCATATATTTAACCTTTGCCTTAAGCCGTTTTTCCTCGTAAAATGCTGGTTGCCCATATAACTATGTTGCATAAAAAAAGGTGATAAAAATGGCATGTGCAACTATCGCCCCGTATCAATACTTCAACCTTTTTTCAAAAGCACCGGAAATAATTATTTTAAACTGGTTTAGTGACTTTGAGCAGAAGCATAATCTCCTAACTGAATCCCAATTTGGTTTCTGTAAAGGGCTCGGCACAGAATCCGCTTTGCTTGCGCAGAAGGAACTAATCCTGACTGCACATGGAAAAGAAAAATTGGTACTGGGTATCTTCGCGAATTTAACTCAAGCATTCGGTCAAGCAAAACATATACTGCTGGTTCAAAGACTTCAACACTAGGGTTTCCATGGGAAGGCTGCATCCTTGATCATGTCTTAACTACACCGTCAAATCCAAGATCTGTATCGATGACTTCTTCGATCCAGTTCCTGTTTCTTGCGGCATACCACAGGGCAGTATTTGGGGCCCCTTTCTTTTCAACATGTACAGCTGCAACGGAAAAAGAATAACACAAGTGACCGACGACCGGAGCGGCAAAATCGCGATACGCGGCGCTATTGTTCCCGAGCGCGCCGATAGCGAGAGTGCCAGTCACGTTCCATGTCTTAATGCGGGGGTGGCTATCAGAAAGCAGCCCATCCTAAAACCCTAAAACCCAGATATTGAAAGCTATATTATCCCTCAATTTTCTGCCGGCCGCCCCCGCGTTGAGATACGGAACGTGACTGGCACTCTCGCTATCAGTGCGATCGGGAGCAATAGCGCCGTGTGTCGCGATTTTGCCGCTCCAGTGATCGCTCACTTGTGCTACTCTTTTTCCGTTGCAGCTGTACATAAATGACATTGTATCAGTTGGATCTAACATTAAATTGATTATTTATGCCAACGATACCAGCATATTTATAAGTGGAAAATGATCTAATAAAATAGTCGGGGAAGCCAGCTTAATGTTACAAAAATTAAAAGAGTGGACATGCCCAAAGAACTTTAAAACAAATACAAACAAAACAAAAGCAGTCTTATTTTGTAGCAAAGACAAGAATGCTGTACCAAGCCAGCCAATATTGATTCGACTCCTATTGCACTTGTATCCAGTTTTACGATACAGTAATCCCTCCTTACATCGAAGTCAACGGAATGGCAAAAAAATTCAGTACTATAAGGGTTATTTTGATAAAAGCGATAGAGCTAAAAGAAACAGCGCCAGCAGTCTTGAAGGTGAACGGGAACACTACGGAACGCTCTTACCATATATTTAATCATACAAACCTTGGTTATGAACATCTCAAGGCAGCTTTACCAACTAAAACAATATTTAAGAGGAGTTTGCCGATAATTTGATCCAGGCATCAGTTCTCGAACTGCTCCAGGCATCACAAGAACACTGTCACTGCTGCTGCACTACACTTTGTTTCGAAGCAGCCATATGATGTTTTGTGTTTCTACAGTCGTCGGTATTTCCCAAGGTGCCTCTCCGATGTCGCTTCTTGTTCACCCTGGCCACAAGCAAGGTTCATGATCGCAGCATCCAGGGCAGGAGAAACAACGGGAACGACTACATCAACAAGCACGAACGAATCAAAGTTATCCTCGGTGCCTTTGCCAACATGTTTTCACGCAGTCCTGTAGATTGCTGAAGCTCTGGGAATCGTGCGCCGGCTCGGCAAGCATGCTCGCGAGAGAAAACCTGACGTGTGTAAAGCAGTTTGCAATCTTTTACCTTCGGGTCGCATCCCGTCCCGTTCAGTGTGCCTTGCTTGTTCCGCAAAATGCTGGACAGTGTGGAACAGCCAATGCCAGAATGTGAATTCTTTGGCGATTTCGGACTTGAACTGACCCGTTTTCTCAACCTCGCACAACTACTTTCGGTAACACTCCCACTTCCCGATACGACGCACGTGTGCGAGTAGTACGCTGCAAGCGCACCCGCGGAGGCGCGCTCACCCGGGGGCTTCCGAAGGAATGATCTCCTCCGGGCTCCATTGCTCCCTCGACCCGACTGCGACAGGAGTCGGGCAGCATCAACCGCAGGTGTCGTGAGTAGCGTCGGAACATGGACGCTGCTCCCATTGCTCCCTGCCCGCGCCGGCGCATCGACATCGGAAGCGGCGCTCTGCCGTCCCTCACCTGTTTGCTTCGTTTTCTTGTTTGCCTCGGTGGAGAAGGGGGAGGGAATGCAAGGGTCTCCGTGCACCTCTGTGTAGGCTTGCAAGCTTTCGGCACCTCGGCCTTTGTAATAAGCGCGGTCGGCCGCCGATGCACTTGGAATAATCCGGTTCAAAGTGCGGGCAATTCGGTCGGGACCACGTTGAACTTCGATAAAGGCGATAATTTGAAAAATGCGCTTTCGTTATAACGAGGGATTACTCTACTAGGAGTTTTTTTTTGGGAAACTGTCGTGGGATGCACATATTGATTCCCTAGCCGCAAAACTATCCCAAATATTTGGACTTGTCTATTCTAATCGACACCTACTGCCACAAAATATTATATCAATTTATAACAGTTTTGGTCTCATACTGTCATTTAGTCTGGTCATCCACAACATACAAATATGACATAAAATTCACGTTCTGCAGAAACGGTTCCTAAGAGTTGCAGAAAATGTTCCTTCTAACTTTCACACACAAGAAATTGTTAGTAAAATATAATGTATTACCAATCCCAAAATTTAACAACTATCAGTTTTGTAAGGAATTTAAACTCGAGGTCACAACTAAATCATTGTTTTTAAAAGAACTAGCTAACATGCAAAGTAATACTACTGCCTACACAATGCGCCATAGTGAGCCTTGGAAAGTTAGCACTCGTAGAACAATCTACGGGCAAGATATGTCAAATAACAAACTGCCAAGATTACTAAATAGATTAAATGACGAAAATATTTATCCGATAGAAATCACGTTCAAGACATTTTGTAGTTATTTCAGCCCCCAAGCTACTTTTCCTATGTAAAAAAAAAAAAGAAGCTGCGTAATAGTAAATCTTGAGTGTTGCTTGCGATATGCACTCTCTTCTCTTTTTCTCTCACTTGACTATGCCTTAACAGATATCTTTTGCTCGAGTGGCTGTCTGTGTCCATTGCTGCTTCCTTCTCTCTCTTTTTTTTCTTCTTTCTATTAATGCTTGAAATTGTGTTGCATGCTGAATTGTTTAGAGCTGCCGAAATGCCAATGCTGGGGCCTGAGGCTTTGTCAAGCTGTCCTTGTGACAGCTTTATCCACGAGCCTCCAGTATACTGTACGTTGTACCTGAGGATAGATAAATGCCAGTGTCGACCAAGACAAAGTGTGCGCTCACCAGCTCGTTCCTAGGGTCGCCAACAACCCGGGTGGTGCCTAGGATTCCCCCGCCAAAGTGCTGCGCGACGCTCAGCCCGCTGAGGAGGTAACAGGTGTGGTAGTAGTCCCTGTGCCTTTGGAGAGAAAAAATAAGGAGGGAAAACTTTTATTGTCGAAAATGAAAACTTTGCAAAACACTTCCTGGTCAACTCCAAAGGGAGTTGCCCGATTATAACTGCACACTGTACGCCCGCAAATCATTAGTAAAAAGATGAGTTGGTAAATTTTCGAGTGCAGGCTTCGAAGCTAAGGACACTGCAAACAGGTGGAAAAGGTTTGAACACGGAGTGGACAGGTGGGAAAAACGCGAGGGGCCGTGGTTTTAACGTATCTGATGTATCGGTCCCTTTCTGTAACATTCGTAGTATAACTAATAAGCGCGATACACTGACCTCAGCTATAGATATTCAATTTCGCGATCACGAGATCTTTGAGGCAGCACAGTTTTTCTGTTTATCGCTGCGACCGCACAACGCGTCAAGGAGGTGGCATTCTTTTGGCCATTTCTAAATAATTGCCTTCCCAGTGCATTTACATCCCAAGCAACCTGGAAACAGTATGGGCTATTATCAAAATAAATCAGGAAAATTATCATCATACTGCTAGGGTTACTTCAATGAAACCTCCTTACTCTAACATAGTATCAAACACTGCCGCAGAACTCCTGGCGTCTGCATACTAAAAGATCAGCTAATAACCCCACCATCTTTTATTTCTTGTCGCCTCTATCATCTTTACAAGGTTGGCGTCCCACTTTGCCGCTATAACATATTTTATGCATCCTTCATCACAAGAGTGTAAAATGACTGGAATAATTTACCTTCATCAGTCACATAAATTTTTGACAGTGCTCTTTTTTGCTCAAGTGTTAGTAATCACATGTTTCCAAACATTTAACCTTTGTTCATGTTGTTTTTATTGTTTAATTTTTTTTTCACCACTCACCTCTGTAATGCCTTTGGCACTAGGGGTACAATAAATAAATAAATAAAATATGCAGGAAAACTGGCGCCGAATGACATCCCCGCTCCAGGCCAAAACTGATACTGTCTAAGAAACTGACCCAGTTTGCTTGCATTCTAGAACTTATTCATGCACACCATTGCTTTACCTTGGCAGTCCTTATCCGCCGAAGAAAAGCAGAATGATTGTGTGCAGAAGGCAGGTCATCCTCTAGCAGGACATCCACAAGTAGCACATCCATGAGTAAAATGATCACTAGAAGTATGTTTATTAGCAGAATTTTGAATAGCAGGACATCCACTGATTGGGTGTCCTCTAGCAGCATTACCACTAGTGGGATGTCCCAATAGCAGGATGTTCCCTAGCAGGACATCTGATAGCAGGATATCCCCAAGCAAGACATCCTACTCCGTTTCACGATAACTTGGCGAACTGTGGAGGCTAGGGCCCCGCGACCCAATAAGAGCTTCGGAGCGAGGCACATGACCCGACGCCACGGGGCATTCGTGTCACCACGTCAAATGCGAGGTGCACGGCATGGAGGAATGGCTGTCGTCTGCTAGGCAAGAGTCGTCTGCTCCGAAACCAACCAACTTCGGATGAGCGTCCACCACAGCAACATATACGTCCGCTAGAATAGCGAGCACTTTGGGAACAGTTCACGAGACAACCATACGCTCAACTTAGCTGCGAATCTGTGACAGGTGCTAATGCCAGGGCACAATGCAACGCTTTGAGCGAAAACGGCCAATTACGCAGCTGCCGTGGTCGTTGGCAATCGCAACTTATAGCGCTGTGATCGCCAATGACCAGAGGAAAAAAATCGAACGGATAAGCTCGATTTTTTTGGTTTAAATACAATTGAAACTCATAAATTTGTGATTATTTATTCTTTATATCTTCTCGTTAAGATGGAATTGCGGAGGGCTCTGTTGCTCTGGCGATAACGAGGCCCCGGTGGCCTTGTCCATGGAGTGTTATCACGTGTTTTGCTCCGGCGCCCTTATTGGGTTGCGGCGGCCGCAGCCTCCACGATTCGCCAAGTTATCGTGGAACGGAGTATAGCAGGATGTCTAGTAGAAGCATGTGGGTAGGATGACCACTAAAAGTATGCCTATATTAGCAGGATGTCTGATAACAGGATGTCCACTAGCAGGATTACTCCACTAGTAGCATGGACATGAGTAGGATGACCACTAGAAATATGTCAAATAGCAGCATGTCTATTAGCAGCATGTCCTCTGGCAGGAGGTCTACCAGAAGAACCTCAACAAGCAGGATATAGAGTAGTAAGATGTTTTCTGGCAGGATGAACATTACCAGGTACGTCTGCAAGACTCTGCCCACCAGCTTGTGTCTAAACACAGCGTCGCCACTCACTTCCCAGGCTTGTCCACAAGCCCGCCGTGCTTGTCCTGGCAGCAGACGAGGATGTACTCCTGGAGGGCGTCCTGGTCGAAGAGCCAGCTCTCCATCGACAGGGCCTCGTTGCCCATCGCAAACAGAACCTTGTGCAGCAGGGGAAACACCCCGCCCTGCCAGAAGGAGTAGCAGCCGTCCACCAGCTTGTTGGTGCGGCCCTGGAAGCCGCCCTCGAACCGCATCTGCCGGTTCGTCAGCCAACGCTGCACAGAGGTAGAAAGAATGAGAGAAGGGACTGGATCATGCCTCAATGCTCGCTCTGCTATCGCAGACGGCAGGGTATTGGATCTACTCTGCGGTTCGGTTCTCACCAATGGACACAGTCTTATGAAATGACAACTGGTTGTGTTATCATGTTTTTGTTGTTACAGTGTTTTGTGATGCTTAAGGCTTGGAACCCAGCCCTAAAACACATTCTGCATTAAAAGAGGAATACAAATGATCAATGGTGACTGTTGGGCGGGATGGTGCTGAATCTTTGAAAACATGGCCGCGCTAAAGGGACATTAAAATATTTTTTTAAATTTTTTTGCCAGACGATTTATTATGGTGCCAGGAGACTACCTAATCAATATTTTTTGCTACAGTGTCGCATGCGTTTCTAATAAAGTAGAGAAACACAACTGCTCGAAACCAAAACTGGAGTGGGGAGGAAGAAGAAATATAGAGAAGAAAGATACCAAAAGCAACGTGGCTGTGCAACTTTTTTATTTTAAATCAACGTATTTGCAGCCTTTTAGAAGCCACAAAAGACAGGTATCACATCGTTTGTACATTTCTAGTATTGAGTGTGCGCCTTCAATGACCCACGACTTTGATTTTCTTTGGTAGTTGTGTCTGAACCATAAAAAACGGCACGTGACCATGAAGAAGGGGGTGAGTGCGACTCAAACCGGCCAGTTCTCGATTAGTGTGTTTTCAGGTAGAAAGAAAACGAGCTTCGAGCCCCAAATTGTGTTCTGGGTGGTTGGGCTCTCATGTCATGTACAAATAAAAACCTTGGCGAGCATAAATACCCTGTCAGTGTCCCCTAAGGACACCGACAAGAGAAAAGAACAAGACAACACAATGCAATAAGCGGCGCGACAGCGCACAGCATATATCTTTGTCTACTTCTGAGGATTAAACGGTTGAAATCAGCGCACTGCATTGTCTTTTTCTTCAATCTCGCCTGTGTTTGTAAGCACGACCATGTTTCTAAAAGTGGAAGCTACAGTTGTCGTTACTACGTACATAACTGTTACTATCGTGACACAGTCACGACATCGTAACAGTTGCATTCACATAACTAATGTAACCATCGAGCTACGTTAACTTGCAAAGCAATGCATTACCAAAATCGAAAAATTGAGTTACTTCACAGCTTCTCCAATTGGCGAGCGCCACGAAACACGTCAGACAGCCACGCCCCGTCAAACGACGAGACCCGTCCAAGACGGTTTCCCGAAATGCCGGTGGTGTAACGCACCAAGAGCTTCTTGAGGTCGCAGCTGGTCTCCCTCTCCAGCAGGACGAGGGCGGCATAGCCGCAGAAGGTGTAGCCTCCATGCGCCTCCATCCCGGGCACTCCCCCAAACCCACCCTCGTACGTCTGGCACCTGGAACCGATTTGAAGTTGCCATGTAAGCCAAGCTCGTTTTCTTCGAGCGACGAAACCTCAAGGCTGGTTTACGCATTTGCGTTTGAATGCGACAGAGCGCATCGCGCCTGCTTGTGACCGCTTATGAGTGACACACTGCCACCCGAGCTCACTCTAAGCATTACCGACGACATTGACGATATTAGGCGACCTTGGCGGATGTGATGTTAAAAGTGTGTGTCTGAGTGTGTATGCCATGCGTCTTCAACCTTATCCTTCAGTCGCAAACCCTCATCATCACCATATATGTAGTTATTTATGTTCACCCCGTCTTTGACCCGCTATCACGCGGCACCGTGGACTTCCTCGGCACGGGCCACTGCTTTTGATGTGGCGTCGCAGCTGTCACGAGTCGAAATAAATATGGATACAAATAGAACACGCTTGGGCACTGACATCGTCAATCAAGTAGCACTGGAACACTTCCAACCTGCATATATATCTCCTCATTTTTTATTTGACATTCTTTCACCGTGACCTTGAAACGATTCTAGTGACGTGATTGGTCAGGGTCATTTTAGAGCACCTTTCGGAGCTGCCAAAAGTCCATTTTAGAGCAGAAAAAATAACTTTTGGAATATAAGCATACACTTCAGTTTCCTCCATAGTATGCTAAAAGACTGAAAGAAAAAAAAAAACTGAAAGACAATGTTTACTTTGCCTTCCCACTTTTGTGAAACCTTTTGTTCAGCTGCACGGCGGGTTTGATTCTCTCAAACACAGAAGACGCCGCTTAGTTGTGCTTAAAAGCAATAACACGCCAACAACATGCCAAATGATAAATGAAAGAATAAACTGCAGTGTAGTTATTTTTGGTACAGAATCAAGGACAAAACAAATAATATATTCCACTGAAATAATGTTAATAGAATAATTTAGTGCACCCATTGTGATGTTTATTGAAGTTTTAAAGGTTCTAATAAAACTGCCATTCTTAAATCGGATAAAAAACAAAGCTGTTGTATTTTATTATGGATATCCATCACATTTTATATGTAAAATTTATAAAAAAAAATTGCCATGTGAATGATAAATATAAGCCTTATTGAAAAACAACCCCACCGAGTTTGTGAAGGTTGCTTCCAAGCCCCTATTCACTGCTCCAGATAACTTAGTTTTAGTGTACTTTATTGACTGTGTCATCAAACAGATATGAAGCCATTTAAGGATAATAACTAAACAAGAAAGTTGACATAAAAATAAACCGATGGAGCAGTCCATACAGATCGTTTAGCAATACTCAATTATCTTTGCTAAATCTCGAATTCTACGACGATATCGTCAGAATATTGCAGTTCATAATACGAAATATTAAGAGATCGTGTCAAGTCCCTCCCTGGAAAGTGCTTTCTCCCTAGCACACGAGTGCACTGTGACAAAATAAGACACGCAAAATCGCTATGTCCATTTGGCGATTGTCGCTTCACAGTAGTGCACCAGTGTGCCTTGAAAATCACACTCAACGAAGCTAGCTAACCTGCTAGAACAAACCACACACATTCAAAATATTGCAAAACTTCCAAGTACTGCCAGTGTTTGACAGAGATGAAATCAAACAGTGCAATATTTGACGTTATAATCGAAAGATCTGATAATTTGCACAAGCCTACCATAGCAATCTGGACGTGTCGCAGGGCCTGAGCTATATTTTAAGTAGTTTACCTAAGTGGTATTGACTTTTGGTGCAATGTTGGCACAGATTTCTCAAATTGTGGCAAAATGTAACAGGATGTAGTAGGGTAAGCACTTCGGCACAGTTTGGCGCCAATGACGCAGCAATCACACCACTCTGATTCCGACAATGTTATAAGCGACCGTTTCTGGCATAATATAGCGCATAGATTTGATCCTGAAAATACTACAAAACCTTCGGTCCAGTTATATGTGGGTTGGAGGTGTTCCAGGACAACCCGAAAAATGGCGTAAGTGCGCTCTCTCTTTGTAAGCGGTTACAGGCAGGCACAAGGCACTCGGTCGCCCAGATGCAAATGTGCGAGCCAGCCCCCACAGAACACTCTCGAGAACTTTCGCACTGTCTCTTTCCGGCAAGAGAAAAGCAAGCGGACGGACTCACTTGGCGACCCATTCTGCGGTTCCTTCGAAGAGCGACGCAGTCCAGATGTTGGTCAGTTTTGCCACTGCCAGGGCGCAGTAGGTGCCCCTGAAAGGAACGAAAGAGGCGTCGGCACAAACATACGCGCGGCAAGCTCACTGCTCAAGAGAGCGTTCGAGGCATTTAACAAAAAACAATCAACGATGTTAGAAACAAACAGAGAAGCTCAAAAACTGCTATCCTGTCCAAAGAGAAGGTTCAGACAACTTAAAGTCTTCCGAAGCCCTCCAATGCGGAGCACAAGTGTGTCCGCTCCTTGCGGAGGGGGTTGCGGTGATGTCAGAACGCCACGCTCTTATTTGTTGATTAAAAAAAAGAGAAGTGGGTAGACCTCGAGGCATCTAGCATCGAGGTCTACCCACTGTCCTTTCAATCAAATGGCGTCGTTCTGACATCACCGCAATTCCTGCGCAAGAAGCAGATGACTTGCTCTTCACATAGCCTTAGTTTTGGTTTTGCATTAGTACGCGTCGGCAACAGCTTACAGAATGGCAAAAGGTTGGTGGCGGTGAAATGGCTACAAAGGTCCGTCGGACGACGTCTATACAACCATTGCTGTCCTCTGTGGAATAAAAAAATTTTCCTCTGTAGTCATTGACAAGGCGAGAAAAGCGGAAAGGAGCTTCGCGAGCTCTCTACCTTCGACGACGCTTTGGCGTTCCGTGCACCTTGAGTGAACGTGAGCAGCCAAAGCGCGGCAAAGGCACGGAGTGCATGCTGGAGGCCGAGTGTTCAATCGGTGCGCGTTGTCGCTCTGCTAGTGACTACGGCCGGAAAACGCCGTAAATACACAAATCGGAGAAATATTTAAAAAGCACAGCGTAAACAAAGTCCATTCAAGTGGGCAGTGAACGTTTATCTGAGCAAGCGTAAAGCGACATTTTCTTTGAAAATTTTTAACCCGAAACCGAGGCCCAAAATGTAAAACAGTCGAAGGTACAAATGCATATTGTTACCGAGTTCTTCCGTGAAAAGACACAAGTATCTTGAGAGCTTGACAAACATACTGTTGTAGGGGAGGCAAATTTTCATAGTTTGTTTATTTCTGCAAACTTGTGCTTCTAACAAATAAAACTTCCTTTTTTTTTTTTTTTTTTTTTTTTTTTTTTAGGTTTGGTTTTGCGACTGCATATTCTCGCCAAAATGGGACATGCTCCTTTTTCGAGGCAAAATGATGGGACAGCGGAAATGAACCTATAAAACAAGACTGTCCTGGTCACTTTAGTCTGAACACAATAATTTGTACGCAAAATGAAAGAGGTAGTTAAAAAGTGCTCAACGATGGGCAGCAGCCCGACTCACCTGACATCCGATTCGCCTCCCTCATGCATTATGAAGGAGCCATCTGGTTGCTTGACCCTCTTCAGAAAGCTGTACAGCTTTTTCCTGCAAGAGGTCAAGAAAACTGAATACAAACAGTCGTCCCACTGATCACAAACAGGCACATAAAATATATGAAAGTAAATTAGGTGGAAGTAAACCAATGACAACTGCACTAAGTTTCACTGCAGCAACCAATTGTAAAAAAAAAAGGTTTCATTGCTTTACGCGTTTTGAACGCAAAAAAGTCTAACATGTTCTCACATTTTTCTAAAGAAATTTTGACATTTTTTCTTAAGACGTTCTGGTTTAATCAAGAAGCAGTACCACCCTGCTACAACTGTCATACTCAGTCTTGCAAGTAATGTGTAAGTGACGTTATCATGCAGTCCTGCAAAATGCTTCATTCGCGCCACCCTGAAAAGCACACCCGTGCCTCCAGCCGTGCTGCACAGAACACTCAAGAGCAAGTGTAACTTGTACCGCTGTTTGGCATAACTTTCCATAGAAGAAAGGAAATGACGTTGGGGCAGGAGACTGGCGAGGTGTTCGGACCTGTCAATAACACTGTAGGCCTCTTCCGTCCCAAGGATGCAAAGAGCGTTCACAGCGGCATACGTCGGTGCGAGGTGCGCCTGTTGGCCTGGACCCCCTGCAAATAAAAAATAATGCTTCCTTATGTGTTTATAGCAATATTCTGGTGCACATTCCAGGAACCCAAAATTCATCACATCACCTGTAAGCTGAATGTTGGAGGACGACAGTGACATTCAATGCAGAATTCATTACAGTGAAGTCTATGCAGGAACAGGCTGACACAGATATTGACAGGGAAGTAACGACGCAGCGTCTTGTGTGGCATCATGTGACCCCATCGCGTGACGTGATGCAGCCTGGGTCTACCAGCCAGTGGTTCTCAACCACTGATGTTTTCGCAGACCGTGGATCAGCAGAGATGAGGGAGGATCCCGTTTGAGGTGAGGGGAAGGAAAGGGTATAGATTAATTATGATAATGATTTATTAAATGGATATAGCCAAGGGCCACCGTGAAGTAGACTTCCCTCATTGACATGTACACGAGAAAACTCGCCCGCAAAGTGGAATGTTTCTTCTCGACTTGAAAAAAAGACAAGTTTTATTGCCGGGCTTGGCTGATGATTGTGGACTCCAACAATTCCTTCGCAGGCCCCCAATTGAGAACCACTGTTGCAAGCGATCGTCCTTCCAGAGACACTTTGCGTAATCTGCGACATGCTGCCCCGAAGTTGCGCTCAAAAGAAAGTGAGTCTGAATATATTTTTTTTATTTACACCACCTATTTTAAGTAAATGCATATTTTCTAAACATGGAAATTATCAAAGGACCAACTAATAACATTGTGTCATCTTACTTAGGTCAGACAATAAAAAAAGGTTGGAGAGGAAAGGCGGTCGCTCACTGCAGTGAAGTAGTATACTCATATTTATGTGGTAAGACGTGAGTACACCATTGGGAAAATATCATACAGTATTCAATAATGACAACACCTCCTATAGGTTAAAGTTTTAAACACGAACCTACAAGTGCATGCTCTGAACCACATACTTAGCAGCAACTTGCCACCTGTCGAGAAAAAAAAAAACACACACACACACACACACACACCACGGGAGGAAAGAAGGCTTAATTCTCTTGTGGCCTATACCTTTCGAATTTTCTTTGACCGAAGAATGTTTTCCACTCTTTCCCTGCCAAACAAGAGCACACTTCCCGAGACGATTGATGTCTCTGCATTCTTTACTTTTTCTAGAGACCGCATTTTTGGCGAGATAAGAACGCTCTAGAGTCAATCTTTGGTGAGAATCGGGTCCTTCTTGGTGTAAAGAAGAAGTTTCTCCATAATTAGAACCTTTCTTTCTAAGAGAGTTCTAAGAGAGTAATTCGCTCCAGCAAAACATTTAATGATGCACTTTACACTATAACTCGCTTATTCACTCTGCGGCCACACACGTTTATGAGTCGCCTTGGCAAAAACATAGATCCGGACTCGCGGATATCCGCATCCAATCCGCATTCGCAGCCCCTGGCATCCGCATCCAATCCACAATCCGCCAAATCTGATGAATTTTTATCAGCATCCACCAGTTGACCGCAGACATCCGCGGATAATCCGCGAGTAGTTCGCAAACATGCAGGGCTCTACTCATAAGTAACGCTCACCGGCACACTTACAACGGAAGTAACATTTTGAATGAAGCATTTGAGACGTCCAGTTTAAAGAAAGCACACTCTTTGAAATGACGTAATGAGTCCTTGAGACTCCGCCGTACACCAACATTTTTAAAAACCTTTCCAAAACTGTTTATGACGAGATCACTAGATCAGTGCACCGAAACGTCGTGAAAATACTTTCTCATACAAGCACTTTACACTTCCTCAAACAATTGTTTTACACTTTCTCAAACAGTTGTTTTGACATCGTCGCCACACATAAGGTGGTACTGAAAGCACCACAATCTCTTGGCAGAATTTCAAACGAAAACATGAATGTAAAAAAAAAAAACGCACCACAAAAGCCGCCCTCCGGATGCTGACACCTTCCTAAGAAGTCTGCAATGCTGGAAATGTGCCAAATAAAAATAATTATTAGAAGTAGCCAAACATACTTAAGGCTGGTTCGCACATTTGCATTACAACATGATTGACTGCGTTCTGACTGCTTACGACAAGATAACATGCTGGCGCCATCTATCAGGAGCCCCTGTAACTTTTCCAAATCTGCAAGTAACTAGACCGAAGGTTTTTGCAGTATTTTCAGGTCCAAATATATGCATATTCCATGAGAAATGGTTGTTTGTAACATCGCCAGAAATATATAAAACCCACGGTGAAAAAATAATGTGAAAAAACATGATAAAACCCACTCTTAGTCACACTCAAACAAAAATGTGTGAACAAGCCTTAAATATGAAACGGAGTATATGTTCCTGCCACTTGTCAAATGTTAATGAGCTTGAGCCATTGCGTCCTGAGCCATTATCGCTTTTATTCAATGCAGTCGGTGAGCAAACCCAACACTGCAATCGCTTGCCTGTCGTGGCCTGGCAGTGATTGGTTTCTTGGACATTGGGCCTTTTGATTAGGTTTTCAATCTAGACATAAATTGTAAACATAATCTAATCTCCCAAAACGTGAACAATGTTTGCATGTGCCTACAAGAGACAACATTTACCTGGACTTCATTTCAGCATAGATAGAGGTGTCCAGCAACTCTAAGCTGTGCAGGATCCAGTAGCACAACCAGGGACGGCTTGCATCAAGGTCCTAAATGAGCAGAGAAAAAAAATTGTTTTCTTTAGTCAGCCTATATTTAAAAAACCATGGAGCAATTTTTTTACATCCATGTAGTATAATCATTTCTAGAAGAAATCATCACCATTCGTAACATTACATTTTATGTTCAAGCATTAGCTATCAAAGCCGAAGGTGCCGACAGAATGGTTGGTTATGTTCTCTGGTGTCTGATGATTCTAACAACATCAGAGGCCATAAAGCTCTGAAGAATTTTACGATGCCCACAGGCCCGTGTTGGCAATGCCACAGGGTGCATATCATATTCCGAATATTGATGGAGCTCAGCAATCTCCACTGCCACAGTGATTGGACCCGAGCAGAACTTAAATGACAACCGCCAGACTTATTGAGCACCCGTGCTCAAACTCAAATGCTGACACAGTGCACATGTACAATGTTTGCGCTGCATTCAGCTGTAATGTTTTCACATCATAGTCCAACATCAGTAGGCAGCCCAAAGAAAAACAGCAGGTTCTGTGCATGGGCTGATCTCAAATGCCCATAGAAGTATCTCAACTGACCACATAAAGGGGAAAATTAGAAATGCTTCACGAGGAGTCAAACTGTTTTCACCGCAGTTCTTAGGGTGCAAACAAGTACAAGTGCAGTTGACGAAAAGCCTCACGTGGTGCCCCCTAAACATTGTATGATGATACCAGCAAGCTTTCAAAAGGAAAGAAACAGTTTGTTCTTATCATCAGAACTACTTGTAGAACAGAAACAAAGCTTGCTTATTAATGTTAAGCAACTAGCGTGACATATAGAGGTTACAAGTTTGAACCCAATATCAACTCATGGCACCATTCAAACGCCACCTTATTTTTTAAACGTTGATGAAATAACAAAACTAGATGTAGACTGCGAGGGCTTCGTAAATGTTTTATGTTGACTGGACGTGGTATGGAAAGAAAAGCAAAATAGCGATCCTGACCCTACAGGTTTTTACACCTGTACATACCATTCCAGTAATTGCCTTTTATGTACTCCCATATTTGTTTATCGGGCTGTGAAATGTGTTCTGAGCAAGCGCAATAGGCGCAATAGTCATCTTCTGCAAAACATCAGGCGTCACACATACGTCCAGTCATTCGGCAGTTTTTGCCTAGCCGACAGGCGCTGGAAAAGAGTATACTCTTGTCATCATGCTTCACAAACCTGATAAGGCAGGGGAAGATGACTCAGACCCTTCATGAGGAATGCAATGTGGCGTTCGTGATGAAGAACTGGGCACCTGAAAAAGTCAGGTCATGTTGAAGCAAAACGGAGACAGAGCATGCTGGCAAAAAATTAAAAAAAAAAGATCACAAAAGGAAAGAACAGATTATTCAGGAACAGAAAAGGATGTGACAGGTCCTCCACACGTCACATCTTTCTTGTCCTTGTATGTTCCGTTTTCATCAATCAGACGTTACGTCAGGATGTCCGACAGCACTGAGGCATGCCGAGAAGGAGCAATGGTCAGAGACACTGTGACACGGATAGACCATTTGCTAAATCTCCCAAGCGCCCCGGCCCACACTCGAGGAATCATGGGGACGGTGTTCCTTCAGTTCCCTAGTGATCGGCAATTTCGACCAATCTGATGCTTACACACCTTTGAGTGTAATCCAGAGTCATCCTGAATAAGTGTTGTGTAGAATGCAGAAACCCGTCATATTCCTATTAAAATTTCTCATCAATGTCAGCATTCTTCACATGTGCCTGCAATCCACCCTTCTAGTTAAACTGCAGAAATCTCTTACAATATTATAATTCTCGTGACTGTTGTTTTAGCAGGAATTGCTTAAAAGCTGAGAATTCACAACAACCAAAAACAGTATTTAGCTTGGAGTCAACAGGGCCGTTTACAACATTTATTCAACCTGTTTTTAACAGCTTTTTCGGATGGGCTTTCCCGCCAGAGTTTCTGGAAATAAACTTTATTTTATTTTATTTTTTTTTAGCATTTCTAAGTTAATATCAGTGTCTTTGAAGCTGTACGAGAATTATAATATTGTAAGAGATTTCTGCAGCTCAGTCATTTGAAGGGTGGATTGCATACACTGTATCAAAAACGCTGACATTGACGAGAGAGTTTAAAAGTTACATATGAGCGGTCTCTGCCATTACAAGACGGTTATTCCGGATGATATTCAGGATCACACTCAGAAGTGTGTAAGCATCGTATCGGTCGAAATTACCAATCACTAGGGAACTAAAGGAACATCGTCGCCATGATTCTTAGAGTGCGGGCCAGGCCACTTGGGGAATTTAGCATATGGAACTATTGCTAGAATTGTGCCCGGCTCGAAACGAAAAAGAAACGGAAGAGCAACTCGGACAACCCATACACGTGTCACGCCTGTGGCGGTGTCATGCGCAAGAAAATCGTAGAAATTCGGTTGGCTACTTGTGAACGCGGGCGGCCCGTGTTGCTGGTGTTGCGACGTCAAGTTGCTGGGAGAAATTGCCCGTCAGAAGCGGGCCTTCGCAAGATGATAGAACTACCACAGTTCAATCGGATGAGTCCGTATGATGCCACACGAATACACCAGATGACCTGCAGTCATGCAGTTCTACAGCCTCAGCCAAGTCGTAGAGTACGTGCATTATGTTCTACGCTTTGGGACGGCAATATCTTGTTTGAATTCGAACGTGATCAATTTATAGTGAATACTGGGAAAGGCGCCCTAACCTAGAAAGTACGCCTATAGTGAGCCTTCAAGACTTACCCGTCTTCCAGTTTCGAAGCCGATCTCATGTATCGGAAGCACGAGTCAACAGCGTTCTCCACTTTTTTCTGGAAAGACGCCACAAAATAAGTCGCCGGTAACGCGGTCTCCCGTCTCTCGCGGACGGCATTCCTACGAATGCATCGTTGATTCGAGGTTCAGTCGACCAGGAGGCGATATATCAGTGTTTAACTTATCCAACAAATCGGCTGACAAGCGAAACAAGTTGCCGGTTTATATAACGAGCGACTGAAATGTCGGCGGCTGTCAGCTGATTCGACAAGATGCATTCGTGAGCGAGACGGCTTCAAACGCCTACCTGTTCCTCGGACGAAGCCGTCGGGTGGTCATCATCGTTGAAGCGCTGTTTCTCTATGGAGGGACTGCAGCAACGTAAGGGGCGACCCGTGCAATTGTTAGATTCTGCCATCGGTTGGTCTTTTCAAACGCGCACTCGATGAAACCTCGCTCAAAACAAAACACGGTTGGCGGCCATGTCTTTTGAATTTATGAGTTGGTGGACGTACCACGTAGCCACAACCGATTGTTAGGCGGCAGCTTGCGCCACCTGTCCAATGTGAACTTAATTTTTTTTTTTTTTGTTTAATGTCACAGTGCACTACACTTCACCGTACGATGCTACGAGCCACCGAAGCCAATCCAAGGCCGTGCGAGAGTCACGTGACCTTGGAATGGGGGACACAAAGGCACAGCGTCGTGTGTGTTGGCGATGTAGAAGAGGAAATCGAGGCGGAAAGCGGGATCGGCTAGGATAGCTCGTAGAGTCCGCTGCGTCCGGACCAGGGTGTAAGATACACTATCTTACACCCTGGTCCGGACGTAAGGTAAAACCAACGTTACTAAAACACCCAGTTGGGAAACGCACATGAAACCCGGAACGCTTGCGTCCTCCGAGACCAAACTAAATTAGAGTTCCTGTATAGGCTCCCTACGGGACCAGAGTTGCGCATTTGTTTTCCCCGCGCCGCCACGCCGCTATTCGCCGAGATCCATCACGTGAGGAGCAAAGCATCCGGTGGCGTGCAAGAAAGCCACCTTTACGGTCGCTCCGCCGACGTTTCTCTTGCCCCGGCGTATGTACCCCTGCTTTCGCCCTCCTTCTCCTCCTCTCCTGTTTTCCATGCGCGGCGGCGCGCGCGGCGCCGCTATTCGCCAAATTTAGTCACGTGAGGAGCGAAGCATCCAGCTCGTGCGGGGAAGCCGGCCCTACGGCCACGCTCCGAGGCTGAATGCGCAACTCTGCTGCCGTAGGCAGCTATACAGGAACTCTAAACTAAATACGATAGGAGCGCCACCCTTTAGCAGCGGGTGCAACTGCTAGATCGGGGATCACGGGATATGGATGCCATGTTACTGATAAATTTTCCTGGGAGTCTATGGGGCGAAGCATCGTTTTATTTCCTAACTCAGGTCCCAAGAGCTCATTAACATGCTTGGATAATTTACGCAAGGTATAAATGGTTACTTTTCTATAACCACCAGTTTTGTTGCGATAGGTTAAGTATTTGTTTAACGCTGAAAATGGTAAATTCCGCCATCTTGGACGTTGCTGCTTGTCTGGCAATCCTGCCTTCTCCTCTCAACGTTTGCGATTCCCGCAGTGAGAAAAAAGCAGAAAAGGCTACACCAAGGCGTTTGTTGCTTGCAATGAGAGGCGAGAGGAAAAGCGCATGAGGCAACAGAGGGACGTCTGCTCTCAAGCAGGCGACATTGGCGCATATCCTTTTCTAATCCTCTCCCTCATGCGCTGCCATTAAATTGCAAACACTCTCAAAGATTTTAAATGCTCCCACCCTTACTAGAGCCTTCTTAATGCAGCTTGACCTGAACCAAAACGTGCAGCCATGCGGTTCCTGGAGTGGCCGTTGCGATAGTCTTTAGTTCGGTTCTCGAGTATGGATCGGAGCCACTTTTTCAAAGCCCTATGGCAGCTTCCCAACCAAGTTTTTTCAGTAACGTTGGGTGAAACGGTGTATAGACGAGGACAAAATGGGAGACACAGATATCGACAAACACAAGCGCTGACTTAGAACTGTTGGCGGATCGGTGGCCGAGTGGGCTAGAGCGCACAAGCTCAGAGCACATGGAGCAAAAGCTTGCGCTGCAGAACCCAGGATTCTGGGTTCAATCCCTGCCGGTTTCGTTCTGAATGAGCATCATACCGGCGTGCGGTCGTGCATCACTACTTTGTGACGCACATAAAAAAACCCAGGCTAGCGGTTGTACTGCACTGGCTAAATTTCTCAACTACAGCTGGGGTACTTGTCGCCCGTTGAGGCAGAACAAGTTCTAGGCTGTATAAACATACACACCACCCAATTTCTTTTTTTTCCAGCTCTTTTGCGTTTCGTTTTACTTCCTCATGACACTAGTTTAAATACCAGATCGGTTACAAATGAAAAAAAGAAAAAACAAAATTCTTTTCACAAGCCACTGTGATCATCGTGCTAAATATTCTTTTTCCGATTAAGGATGGGCTACTCACACAATTATCTCCTAGGCATGCGATTGTCTCTGCCACTATTATTTCTCTAGTGATCTGGTTTCACTGATCTTCCCCACTCTGCGAATGCGGCCACCGGACGGCCGTCTTGAGACATGGAAAATCGACCTTGTGGAGCGTCGCGGAGGCTGGGCGGCAACGTGCTAAAGGCACGTTTTCTGCTCTTTCGTCGTCATTTGCTGAAGATGTTTTCTAAAACCTTGTGTAAATGGTGGGAATTGCCTTTAAACACGTTAAACTTTTTATGAAAGCGCAGCACCGCAGGAGGAAGGCACAACTCGTCGAACGCAAGACTCGCCAGTCTCGCAGCGTGATCAAAACTTTCTTGGCACGCTGAAATGGTGCATCTCTGTGCCTTCGCACACTTGGATACTGACCAGGAATCCGAAAACTAACGCCAGAAACAAAAAGAGGACGATTGTTTTGCTGTGCAGACTCGCAACGTAGATGACAGAGGCTCACCAAACACAGCCAGAACCAATATCATACGGTGACAGTATGATAAATGGGCAACGTGACGTGCCACTAAACCTCACGCGGCAACAACACATCAAAGAAAGCACGGCCTGCGTACGCTTGTCACCGGATTAACTGCTCGACTGCAATCGTTTGGCCTCTTTGGCCCGGTGCATACTACATCTTTGTGATGGCTGCTCAATTTTTGGCCATGACTGCACGGTAGTGTGGCTGGTCAAAGTCAAGATCGCTCTCCTCTAATCCTTTTTGCCGCACAATTAATAGTGTAGTTGGCAAAGAGTAATATGAATCAAACCCCAAATTTACGGTAACCATTTTTTTTTTGTTACTTCACCTTGTGACTTAGGTTAGGCTGCACCTCATACCCAGAAATATAATGCCAAGTCACTGGGCTACTGTGCATACTCAAAACGCATTCCACAGCCCAGAAGATGGCAGTATGCAAAAGGCAACCCTTGGAATGGTCCATATGTGATACAAGTTAGAACTCCGAGTGCTCCAAGGACCAAGTGTCAGTCGAGCTGGTCGACTTTGGCCTGAGGAAACCACAACGTCCTAGGTTACATAATATACAAGTTAAACCCTATCTAATCTTCATCATGCACAAGTTTCCATTAAAAAGAAGCAAACAAAGGACTTTTTTTTTATTTGGACAACTCAAGTTATTATATCCAAGTGCTCACAAAGATTGCCTACACACACCCCAACGACCCCATGCACCGTGGCACAGTTCTGAAAATGCAACTTCACATACAGCCATAATTCAATTCACAAATAATTAATTTCAGACAAGAAATGAGGCTTTGCCCATGACGCGGCAATGACAATGGTATTTGGCTCTGCCAGGAAGCGGCAGGGAAAGTTCCTAGAACCCGCTCCTCCAAGATGCAATGCTGCCCAGAGCACTGAACCCAATGCACCGTAGATCCAACACATAGAAATTGGGGCTTCCAATCATCCAGTAAGGTACTTCCGGCCATAAAACCTGGCCTTCTCGTCGAACGCTGCTGACTTGATGGGTGTGTTGTGGTCATAAAAGGGGTTGAGAGCGTACTGAAAAAAAAAAAAATGAAAGACGTTTACTACTTTCTGTAATGTCGAATTAGAGCGCAGCTCTTGAGGGGGAGGAGGAGAGAGTACAGAGAGGAGGGTATGCCCCTCCTCTTCCTCCCCCTCTCTCATGACGTCACTCGTGACTCTGGTAACGTCACTTGTCACGTCACTCGTACCCTAGTGACGCTCGTGACGTCACTCGTGAAGGTCTCGTGAAGGTCGTGACCCTCGTCGTGACATTCACGAGTGACCTTCATGGCGTCCCTCATGACCCTAGTGACGTCACACGTGACGTCACTAGGGTCACGCACATGCCGAAGCCCCAGACAAAGCCAGGGAGCTGGCACTGCAGAAACACGTTTGAAACATGCCCCATTGCAACTTGCATTGCAGTACACTCAGGACCCACCCAAAGCACCCAAAGAAGATCTCTGAAGCAAGACATAAAAGAGTATAAAAATATAAAATCTTGTTGCTGATGGCACTTAGTAATAACCTGGACCCCTTTTTAGTGTGTCGCAGTGCATGTAGCAAACTTCATTGATCCCAATTAGTAAAAAAAGTAAAGGTCAAGTACCTTTACGTAGAACTCATACATTTCCGTGCAAAAGTTCTTGATCCCGTCTTCGTTCTTGACATCATGTAAAACCAGAAATCGCATGCCTAACAGGTTAAGGAAAATTGGTGCACGAGTTGGGTTACCTCGCACTAAGGACGAGCCAACCAACAGTTTGATTAATGTCTATGAGCCGGCGTAAATGCTAAGAGTCGCCAACATCGGTTAGGTCACCGTGCTAAAAGTTTCGCTGTTGGTTGCATGAGCCTGAAGTGTAATGCAATCATGGTGAATAAATGAACAACACAAAGATGAGGAAAGTGAAAGACATTGCGCCCAGCTGCTCATCTCAATAAATCACCAAGTCTTGAGCTGAATCGATAATGCCTCACTGACCTGCTTTTATTGTACTATACTGTCGCACAATTACGAGCTGCAATGGTTACAATCTGCATGGTTGTTTGCTTATGAAGTGAGTCTCCAAGTGGGCTGCTCTATGCCAGAGATTTTAGAAGTTTGAACACTTAAACAGGAACATGAAGAAACTGTATTGCAGTGGAAGCACTGAACAGAGAAATAAGTCAGTGATTCTAACATATGACGCATAGTGCAATGCACTTGCACAGCCCCTTACTACAAGCTATACTGTCTAAGCCTTACTCTGCAGCAAAGGGCCAAACATAGGGCCTCCATGAGTGCATCAGAGAGGAAAAGCACATGACAGCTGCTTGCGTGACAAGCACACTCCACAGTACTATATCACATGGCACACTGACATTCTGGTTGGTTCTCCACACCATAGCTTTTGCCTTTTGCCAGGTAGCGCCAAAACGAAGTATGGCATTGTATTGTCAGAAATGTGTGCAGCCAGAAACATGTGCAGTTGTGAAAACGGAAGTGCAAACTAGAGGCCAAAACACACGAGCATAGCGAGATATGTATGTTCTAGCTCCTCTGTTCTCATGTGGTCTCATTCTCATAAACCCGGGCAATTTTCCCAAGGCTACGAGCAAGGCGAATACGGTTGGCTGTGACATGGTGTCACGTGACACTGTGCCGCCACGTGAAGCCGTGACGTCATGCGGTGCGACCAACACCAACACGAGCAAGCAAGGTCCGTGGAGGACTCCAGTGTAAAACTATCACTTTAAAAGGATACGGTTGGCTGTGACGAACGCCGAGACGAACCACTCGTTGAACTTGTCTACAACTTTGAGGTACATGTTGTTCGTCGTCCATACGCACTCGTCCACAAGGTCCAGCGCTGCGTGAGCAATGAACTGGCTGAGGTAGCGGTGGTCTTCCTGCAAGTTGCCAAAACCAAACCGCATCAAATGCCAGCTCTTTCCACGGGAGCGGCGTAGTTGTTTACCTTGTTCGCCTGCTTGTTGGATGGGTGGAACTCGATCTCGTACACTGGATTGTCGAAATGCCCCACGATAACAAAATAGTACGTTCCCGACATCTCGATCTTGTGAAAATGCAGGTAAACCCGCTTGTTTTTTACGACCCGCAACCTTACATACCCGGTATATATCTGTATATATATATATAAAGAAAAAGGTTTACGTATTTAACTCTCAGTTTTCCTGGAATTCGTGAGTTTAGTTGATGACGCCTACCAGATGAGAGAACATATCTGGCCTCTCGTCCTCCACCAAAATCAGCGTCCAAATCCAGTGTAAATCTAGTAGAATCCAAGTGAATCCAATATGAGTGTTCAAATATTTGTAATAGGGCGGTAACTTGCGCCGCCTGCTTATGCTGGTTTTTATTTATACTTTCGTTTTCTACAAGTTGCATTTAATATTTTGTTTTAAGAATATCATGTCCGCTTGATTATTTTTGTATAACAAAAAAAAAAATCAAAACCCGCACTATTCTTAAGATTTTTCTTGTTGGCTGTGTTGGCTCCTGATATCTAGTCTAGACAGATGGCGCGATAGCCGTCCAAATAAAAATTGAAGCAAAACAGCTGCCGTTTACGATTCGCCATCCATTAACTACCGCGGGGTCCGGAGGAAGGGGAGTCGGGGGAGTTTCCGAGGCTGTTTTTTCGCCGCGGTGCTCACGAGGATACAGGATACTGCGACGGCGTCGCAAAGAACCGGCAACTCCCGTCTTCACCATGATGTGACCCAGCGAGACAGCACGGCGACTCCGCGATGCAACTGTACCCCGTGTTCCTCCTGTCCATCGCGGCAGCATGGACCGCCGACGCGCTCCACCTCCAAGGGACCTTCCGCACCAGCCAATATTTCAGCTTCCTCGCCAAATTCGGTTTCCGCAAGACCGACCGCCACGACCACGAGAACACCCTGGGCTACATCTACGGCAACGTGACGACGGCCACCAAAGACCTGACCCACAGGGGCACCCTAGTCGTGGTGGACCGCTCGGATTTTTTGTCTTACTACGGGAACCGCACCGAGCCCGACCGGCAGTCGGCGTGTCAGCTCATGTTTTCGGGCATCAACCGCGTCGCCTTCGACAGTAGCTGCAATCCCAACGGCACGCAGGACTTTCTCCGAAACATTCCCTGCACCCCGGGCAAGCTGTGCGAGGACGAGGACAAGCCGAACCGGGTTGTCAAGGGAAATCAGTTCACGTACACCGTGCGTGATCTCCATCAAGCTCGGTAAGCTCGCCCACCTTCGTCGGTTTGCGTCCTGTCATTCACATATTGCAGTGGATTACGGGCGTGATGCGGCTTAATTAGCGTGCGCGGCTGAAACCGCTTTAGGAGCGTGGCCCAATCCGATGTAGCAGTTGTTTTCAACGTCGCGTGCCGTAATCGTACACGTCCAGGTACGCAACCGCCGCTTCCTGCAGACGCGGCGCGGCAAAGAAGTTTTGTTTTCGCTCGGAATGAAAGGAGAATCCAGTTTTCGTTGTTCAATATGGTGTTAATTGCTAGGCAAATTGGGTGTGAGATGCGTGTCAAACGTTTGGAAGCACTGCAGACTTCTGCTGCGCGGTTCCCGACCCGCACAGAGATGCATGTTTGACCCGCGATAAACCAGTAGGTATCGATGATACCGCGACAAGCGCAAGCAAGCCATCGACTTTTTTGTTTTATTATTTTAGTATTGGAAGGACTGTCATCAGTGGCGGATTCAAAGGAGTTCCGCTAACACCCCCCTCCTTTCTCTTTGGAAACACCTACATCCGCCGATTTGCCCCAGAGTTAAAGATCTATGCCCACCAGTAGCCTTTCGAAGTAAAATGCGAAAGAGCGCCGAAGTCGTGTTCTCCTTACAGTGCCGCGTAGCCTACACTGTACTTGGGGATAGATTCTGGGTCAGTGAGATTCGGTGCGATCCTGTATAAGTAGCGTATGGACGAGAGTATTTTTACCCCCGAACTACGTGACCCTGTATTTTTAGCTCCAGTCGAAGAAAGATATCGTAGGAAACCGAACGACCACGAAGTCTTTTTAGCTCGGCGGTAGGGCTCAATAACCTCCCTTGGAGAGAAAACGCTGCCAAGTTTAGCTTTGCTCTTTCGTTTTTTTTTTTTTTTTTTTTTGTTTTTTAAAATTGTTTTTACAATTTCGTTTTTCTATCCCCCCCCCCCCCCCCCCTTTTCCTCTCCCCGTGAGTTAAATAAATAAATACACCGCGTGTAAAAAAAAAAAAAAAAAAGTAAGGTAAACTTTATTTTAAATCGTTCACAAAAAAAAAAAAATAATTTTTAATTTTTCTTTTATTGCCATGGTTTTGTGCTGTTTACTGCACTGTATATCAACGCTACGCGTTTTCGGCATTCCGCCGAAAGGTGACGTCACGCCACTGACATTACAACGCTCGACACAACCTTGATGTCGCGTCAAATATGTCACCTGTTACCTGGTGTCAACTGATATCATGACGTGACATTGTCATGTCACATTGTACAGTGATGCCTCGCGGCTTAAAGGGATGCTGAACCGAAATCTGGATTCCCCAAAACACGCGGCAAAAGCGTGCAACGGGATGCTACAAACACCAAAACATCACTCATACAGCGATATCTCGAACGGATTACCGTATTTTTTAAAAAAAAGAGGCGCATTTGGCAGGAATGTTGACGTCATGTTTTTCCGAGAAGGAGAGGGAACGGCCTCTTGACGTCACGCGCCTCGTCGGCCTGGTTCAATCTCGACTTCTTTTTCCGAAAATACGGCTGTCCATTTGAGATATCGCCTTGCTAGTAGTGTTGTAGGGATTCTAGCGTCCCGCCTATATCTCCAGCATTGTTTGTTTGAAATCCAAATTTCGGTTCACCATCCCTTTAATGAAGTCAAATGACAATGTGAGTCAGATGATGTCATGACGTCATGTGACACTGTGATGTCACATAACATTCAGACTTCACGCGATATGGTGAGAATGGAAACAATAAAAATAAAGCATTTTCGCTAATTATGCTAGAAAGATTCTCTGGTGATAAAACAAATAAAGCTAGATGGGTGTTAAGTCGGCGAAACCACGGGCAAGAAATTAGGTAGAGCTACTCACTTAAATCTTGAATGCATGATTTTGGAAGTGTTTTTCAGTGACCACAAGGCGGTGCTAGTTTGTGTCCAATATCATTGCATAAGTAAGACGTTCAGGCAGCCACATGACAGGGAACGGTTCATGCATACTCATGCAGTTTCGTCGTTCCCTGGATTTCAAACTTGGGCATGCGATTTTCGAAGTGTTCAATTATCTGCAGTCTTAGTTTGTGTCGAATAATATTGTTTAACTGGTTCATGAAATGCTCTGTACTTAATACAGCCTCATTGGTCCCAGAGCACTATGGAACTTTCGTCCAGTGTGTTACTCGGTTTAATATGAAACACGTATGCGGACCCCACGGTGCGCACTTGCATTTTTACCATTCGTCAGTCTTGAATAGTAACGCGTTACTAGTAACGCGTTACTGTAACTTCGTTACTTTTTCGGTAACTTGTAACTGTAACGAGTTACTTTTTAAAAATGTAACTTGTAACTGTAGTTCTATTACTTTTTTCTGAAGTAACGACGAAAGTAACGACGTTACTTTTGTCGTTACTTTCCAGTGTTTTATTAATAATATATCACTGAACGAGGGTGCAATTTAGCCATTCCTTGCACTTTCCAAATCGTCTATTCCGACATTTCAAGTGTCAAGTTGGCCTTGCACAAAGTTGTGAATACGTTCTTTCTCACTAGTCACGACCCGAATATAGCCGCGTGTAGATTTTATGAAAAAATATCTAGTTATCTTTACGCACGCGCTTGTACTTTGTGACTGAACACTTACATATTAGTGTCTTGAAGCACCATCTATTTTGTGGTTTTTCTTTTTTTCTGTGCAAACGATTTTTAATCGGGTGAATCAACCGTGAAACAACAATACACGTGGGGACACTGCGCATGTCTCGTATTTTGATTAGCGCTACTACTCCGCACTGCGCATGTTTCGTATTACCGTATTCGTATTATTAGTTTCGTACTCTGGCGTGGAAACTTTCAAACACTAACTTCGAGAAGCGACTGCTGCTAAGTTACGATATGAAGTAAAACGAGTACTTTTTAATTTTATGGAATAAAACGTTGTGAATGGCGTTTTCTAGTTTTTTCTAATTTTTTTGTTATAGAAAAGTAACTGAAAAGTAACGTCGTTACTTTTTAAAAGTAACTGTAACTGTAACGAGTTACTCTTTTGTTGTGGTAACTGTAACGGTAACTTCGCTACTTTTTTGTGAAAGTAACTGTAACTGTAACGAATTACTTTTTAAAAGTAACTTACCCAAGACTGCCATTCGTTCAGTCCATCTGTTCCGAAATGACATCTTAGTGGCTCTGACGTCACACCTCAGCTGTCGCTGTGTTTCACCTTACAGATAGCACAAGTGTTTACCAATTTTTTTTTTTATTTGAGCGTGTTGGAAAGGTCTAGTTTCCACACAAAAGAATGCCCTGAATTTTCCATACCTGACTGAACCTGAGCTTTCCAGAATGGTTCCAGACACACACCAACACAATGCTGTGTTCTGAGGCTTCTCATTTCATTTTCCAAACACAAAATTTATGTATTTATTTTTATTTATTTCCCCCCCCTGACATTTCCCTTTCCTGAAATTTTTTGTGTGCCTCCTTTCAAGATTTGTTGATGTCTTTGGGGGGGGGGGGGGGGGTTCATTTTTGTTTGTTGTTAGTTGAAAGCCCAGTTAAAAATAACCATTGGGTCCAATTAGTTATTGACAATTAGAACCAATGGGGAATCCTATCTGTGATTTCGGACTCCTAGTTAGAAAAAGTCAATTGGTTCCAATTAGTTGTTGACAATTAGAACCAATGGGGAATCCTATCTGTGATTTCGGACTCCTAGTTAGAAAAAGTCAATTGGTTCTAATTAGGTATCGACAATTAGAACCAATGGGGAATCCTATCTGTGATTTCGGACTCCTAGTTAGAAAAAGTCGATTGGTTTCAATTGTCGAAATCTAATTGAACATCGCCAATTCGAACCAGTTCGGCATTGTCAATAGGATGCAACCAATTGGAAAAAACCTATTTCTGTTTTCGGACTCCCAATAGGAAAAAAGCAATTGGTCCAACTGTTCAAATCATATTGACAAATACGAATTGGGACAACCATCAGTGTTTGGATATCCCAAACTAGAAAAAGTTGCAACTAGATCTAAAGGTGGATAATCACACAGTCTTTATTTAACTTATTAGAAATGATTTCTTGCTTCTAGGCATCGTCGTTTTCTTCCAGGATAGCAGCTGCAGCTTCCCTAAAATAAAGGATAAATATGCATTAAATGACCTTATGGGATTATAAATGTTTAAATCAAGCTTAGAAACATACTAAACTTTTTTTTTTTTCGCTGCAAAGAAATTAGTTGCAGTGGTATAAACCTGCAGGCCTTGCATTAAAAGGCAAACATCCCTGGGTGACTGAAACACTCTGGTCAAAATTAGGAGATGAAGCTTTTGCCGAGACTGGGCTAAATTTGCACTGGGATGGTCTAAAACTACTAAGTTTCCTATGAGCCTGTAAGACATATTCTCTGCTATAAAGAGAAAAAACAGTCAAATCAAAGGCATCTCTGTAAAGCTGGCCAGTGCACCTGAAATATGCTTAAAGTGTGCAGGGGTGAAAAAATAAGTGTCTTTCATATCTCGAAAAGAAATCATGCAGTGCAGGCTGTGTTCCAAATCTTACTCGAATGGATCAGAGGCAACGCAAGACGCGGGTAGGTTTTTGAACTTACCCTGAGTGAGACAGAGTAAATTTTGAAACATAGCTGCAAATAGTCCGCCGGATGAGATGCAAAATTTTCGGCACCTACTGTTATTTTATTACAAGTCATCAACTTCCAGAAGTAATGACCCGACATCACCGACCGACCGACCCCCCCACCCCACTTATCGAAAATTCCCCCGAAATTGCTTAATTTTGAATCCCAAAGCTTCAATTTTTGAAACTGTGCCCAGTCAGTGTTTTCAGCAATTCATAGTTCAGTTTTGAGATGCTTAAAATGCACTTAACTTTCCTCGCGGATACCCAACAACTTCCGAACTGATAGCTGCCCGGAAAATTTTCTTCTCTAAAGCTATATATTCACGCTCGCATCGTTCACTGAAGATCAAACAACGAGTGTCTCAGCAGATCTAACAATCCGAAATCCCAAAACTGCAGTGCAGCAAGGACAAAGAAAATTTCTTACCTTGCTCCCATAAACGTTTGTTGCCACTCATTCGCGCTCTAACAAGCTGGCAGGTCAAATGGTCAAATGAAGTAATTATCACCGCACCATTGAGCACTCTGCAGCAGTAAAACACAATAGAACTTTCTTGAATCATTGCCATAACCATGCTACGAATGCCGTACACGCCATCGGCGCCATGTGCTTCATGCTTCCTCCGTCCTCGAGGCGCCATCTTTGCTGCCCAGTGTACACCGACGCTGCCGGCAATTCCGACTAATTCTAGAAAGAGATTTCTTTTTTTTTTTCTTTTTTTTTTTTTATTAAATAGCGTACGAATTTTTTTTCCTCTTTCAAATTGCGATGTTGAAAAAAATTTTTGCAACGCAATACTGAAAAAAAAAAAAATAATTGCGATCTTTGGAAACTTTGTGGTGAGCAAAGAGATAATGGCAAGTTCTGTCCCAGTGCCAATTGAATTTTATTGTTCCCAATCGGAGATCAATAAAATTCAATTGGAAACATTGAAAACATAAAGTTGGAAACATTGAATCCAATCAGAGTGACCAATTAGGTGACCCAGTGCCAAATGAATTTTATTGATCCTAATTGGGATAACCAGTTGGAAACACTGAATCCAATTGAGTGACCAATTAGGTGGCCCAGTGCCAACTGAATTTTACCAGTTGGAAACATTGAATCCAATTAGAGTGACCAATTAGGTGGCTGAGTGCCAATTGAATTTAGTTGGTCCTAATTGGGGTAACCAGTTGGAAACATTGAATCCAATTAGAGTGACCAATTAGGTGGCCCAGTGCCAGTTGAATTTTGTTGTTCCTAGTTGGTGTAACCAATTGGAAACATTGAAACTAATTAGAATGACCAGTTGGATGACCCAGAACCAATTGAATTCCATTGACTCCAGTTGGTTCCAATTGAATATCCTAATTGGAGTCAATGGTTATTTTTAACTGGGAGATGTCGTGTTCTATTTGTTCATTCTTTTGTGTGTAAGTTCTTTAAAATAGAGATGTTTTGGGCAAGTTCATAAATGAGGCATGGTCAGAAGGGAGTGAGAAAGTTTGGCGCGATTGAGCGTCTCGTGACAGATATTTTATTGATTATTTCATTCAGTTTAAAATAAGGATTGTGGCTTTGCAATATTAGTGAACTTTAATATATTTCATTCAATTTTTACATTCAAATGTGTTGAATAAAAATTCCAAGCTAGGAATCCTGTTCAATGCAAACAACTTGCAGTCTTTCTCAAGGTACCTAAGCATCACTGTTCTCCTATGAGCGTCCATGGGACATCCCTGGATCGCTAGAGCATCCTCAGGATGTGCTGCTACGGTGTCTTTGTTTCTGCAGGTCATGATTTTAGAAGCACTTCTAAAACAAAAACTGCTTGCACACAGTAAAAACTTGATTCCATTTGACTTTCGTTGTTTTAAATAACATGCTTTTATAAGGGCAGAGCACAAAGTCTTACTTCATGTATTGCCTCCTGAAAAGATTCAAGACTTGAGAGCATGAGGTAGCTAATTTTGGACTTTGTGTTGTTGCATTAGGAACAATCCAACAAGCAATGCGTCGCCTAAAAAATTATATATTCAAAGACCCCGAAATTATTGTGACAAACTTCCATTCTTTTTTTTTAATATTGTGGAAGTCTTGGCGTGATATTGCGATGTATAGTGACTTGATGGGGCGTCCACTTTATCTCCTTCCAGCACCACATCACCTTATTTCCAGTGTGAGCCAATATCATCCACTTGCGGACATTAACAGCTCGGCAACCGTCCATGCCTGCATATACCGTAAAATACTGAGCGAGCGCCCACGCAAAAGTTAAGATACCATCAAGAGCAGAAGGGGCATATGGTAGGGTAGGCTCTTGTTTGACCCGACAGAATGGTATAGGAGCAGCACAGGGATCTGGTAACTTGACTAGCTTGACGATAGCAGCGTGCGTGGAGGAACACTCTGGTCAGCTCGGTGGGCTCGGAGGTTTTGCTGGGGTACAAGAGCTCGACATGTTCCTTGCCTATACTTCGGATGTTTCAAAAGCAGGTGGTGGGCACTCATTGCGACGTGGGTGCATGCAAGGCGTTTTGCGATGCATGAAACGTGCATCACGAGTTGTTCTGTTCCCTCTGCATCGCCCCAGGTTCTGGTACATCAGCATGGTGTCTTGTTACCGAGTGGGCGAGGGCAAGGACTGCAAGTGGAAGGACTCGGTCGAGGAGGACATAGCCATCAACTACGACATCTGGCTCGTCAATGGGAACCCGGCGGCTTCCTCCCACAACTTCTTCGAGTACCAGTTTTCCTTTGAGCAACAGGTGCGTGGGGTTCTCTTTGCGTTTGCTGGACGCATCTTGTGAGTGAAGAGGCAGACACAGGAACTCCTAGGGTCACCTGACAGCTTAAGAAATTCGGGGCGCGGCGACTGACGAGCACGAGCGCGAACGTAATATCTTGCGTTTCTGAAACTGTCTGCAACTAAAGTGGAGCGGTTAGTTTGTGTGCTGACCTTAAAGGGGCGGTGCAACAATTTGCGGACTTTGGCTAATTAATTGTGGGAATTGATCCCGGCCACATATAAAACGAAGTACCGAAAAATATTCTTTCCTGCTTGCCCTAGTTTTCCTTAAAAAAAAATAAAAGAAATTGGTATCTCTGGCACCCCTCAACTCAACATTGAAGCGGCACCAGTTTCGCCTGTGACGTCATTCGGAGTGGCGTTGGTTTCCGGTTGGGTGCTTCTGGCTTCCGTTTCCCCAGCGCTCGCCGGCTCGCCAGGCTCGCCGCTCTCCCGTCGATCCCCGACCAACATGGCGGCATGGGCGGACGGCCTGAGCGACGTCGAGCGCAAGATACTTGCGTATAGTAAGTCAGTTGGACTTGTGCGGCGGGCAGTCGAAGTCGAGGTCGAGACACCAAGAACAATAACGATACCACGATACTACGGACCACGACCAACGCACTCCGTCGAGCGAGGGAAAGACAAAACGTCCGGGTTGCTCGTGTAGCCGCTGTAGGCGCCTCGGGCGTCGACGGATTACGCAGCGAAATAAAGGTATTTTGGGGTATGGTGGCACTTTTTCTCTTACTTATGCCGAAGTAAACAATATAAAAAATACAAGCTGCACATTCTTCTAGTGTTAAAATCATTGCACCGCCCCTTTAAGTCTTGTTATTGAAATATATTATTTCAAGGCCACAATGGAAAAGCATTTCATAAAAAAGACGAGAAAATATATGCAGATCAGAGGTGTTCCATTACTCAATTGGCAAGCCTGCCTTCCACTGACGTCATGGCACTGAAATGTGCAGGTATATGTGAGTATTAATATTTGCTTATTTTTTGTTTACTGATTTCACAATAACTATTCTGAATTTCGCAATACTAAATAGCTACCAGAAAGGGTAAAGGCCAGGGATTCAGAAAATATAGTCGGTTGAGGTAGCTCAAGAAATCGCCGGAGTAGCCCTTTAAGGCGATTCCTTGGTCTTTTAGAAAACGGGCTCTTTTGTTTCCTATGGGACTTTGCCTTACTTACTCCATTGAAGAATTTTAGTGCAAACAACTTGTCACTGTGTTGACGATGCAAAAGTGGCTCCAGCCACCAGACGATTTTGCTAAGAATGGGAGAGAGAAAGAATGTGTGACTTGGGTACAAACGACCATGTTTGGTCAATCGTCTGGGATATCTCTGCTGCATGTTACAAGTATAAAATTAGACTCTGAAGATCATTTCACTGCCCTGGGATGGCAAAAGGTTTTCAAAGCCGGGCAGCGTCGCAGCTGGGGACAAAATGTTTGGCCTGTTTGACAATACAGCAGTAAACTACCTGGGTTGGTAGCATCTGATCTGGTATCACATACATGCACACAAAAAGCTAGTAAGTGCAGCTGTGCCAGATAATATGATGGTGTTATCAGCACTTTTATAAAAGGCTCGAGTTTGACCCATGCTGGAACAACAGCAACGAACTATGGAGTTCATTCTGCTATGTCTACACACACTGGGGTAAAAAAAGGCTTCTGTGCCAAGGTGTGATAGACAATACAAAGGTATTATCACCGCTTGTGATAAAATACTTGACCTGCCTGAAACACGAGCTCAAGCTGGCCAAGTTGATGTGTTAACACAGAGGTTCGGGCGAGTTGGTTGCTGTTGCAACCGCTCTTACCATTCAACTCGGCCCATTCAAAACTTGTTAAAAGAAGCATCGTGCGGTTATGCCTCAAAAACTCGCTCATAAAATCCTGCTCGCATTCCATTCCAGCGAGCTTTGACGGGCAAGTCTCAAGACTAAAGCGCGCAGGATACCCAAACTCGTTATTAACATCAGTGGCCGAAAAGCTCATCAACGAAAGCAGGCAAGACCTATGCACACAACAAAAGCAAAGAGACAAAACAAAGAAGCCCATCATTGTGCCATATATTCATAATTTTTCTCACGGACTGAAGAAAATAGCTAACCGAGTAAACTTGGAAGTCATCTTCTCAGCTCCTAACAAACTTCACAGCTTATGCAAGAAGGTAAATACTCCACCAATAACAACAGTTGGCTGCAAAAAAAAAGCACAAGAACACCTTTGTCCCTTGTACAGAAAAGGTGGTCTACTCCTTTCCCCTCTCTTGTGGAAAGCTGTACATAGGTCAAACCGGAAGGTGTCTGAACGATCGCCTTCGAGAGCATAACAACACATTCGCCAACAAAAGCTCCGGTCATCTAGGCATTCACTGTCGGGACTGTGGGTACTCAGTGCAGCTGACCAACTGCGGCGTGCTTTGCAAGCACCATAATAAGCTCACAAGAGAAATTATCGAGGCAGAGAACATTGCGAAACATAACAGCACATGCGTTAGTACTCCGTCTTTAACCTTGTCACAAAAAGAATTAGACTACCTAGCTTTACATTAATTTCAATTTAGTTCACTATTTAGCATCATATCGAAAGAAAAGAAAAAAAAGACCAGTTATTCTCCCTGGCCCTTGCATATAGCACAAATAGAAGAAGAGAAAGTGTAAATATAGAGAGTTGTCAGTCAGCGCTGGGTAAGTGTTTCTTTCTTTTGTGTGTATGTTGATTTGAATGACTGTTCTGCAGGTGCGCTGTTCCCCCTGTACATCACGAGTTGATATGGTTTCATTCTGATACGTTAGACACACAAACCATGTTCCAACAGTGATAATACAGAGGCATTATCACTAGTCCTTAAAATGAAATTCTTTACCTTCTGGAAAAGTAAAAACCTAGTTCAAAGTTGATAACAGGTCCTTCGGGTTATAAGAAAACAATGTAAAACTTGCAGTCTGAGGGATAGGGACTTCTGCATGTATCTGTGAAAATTATCTCTACGTGCTGCAACTGGATCTGAAAATTAATAACAAGACTGCAAATTGTTTTTACTTGGTGTCCCAATTTTTTGTGATTTGTATATGGTGGATATGGTTTCATGGTTTCTCAATCGCAACTTCCTCTGTGCTTGTGTACAGTATTCTTTTATTCCATTAATAAAGGAATTTTGTGATTTGTGAAATTTGCATGATATTGGGGATTGCAAAAATTTTGAGGGTATAGCTGCTTACTGGTGTACCGAGACGACTCCATCAGTTTATGGGTAAGCTAAATTGTAAAAATGCTCACCATTTTCCTTTATTAAATAACTAGGTAGGCTTCAGAAACATTTTGTGACAAGGAAACCATCACTCTCATAGTTTTAAGCTCACAAAGCCATTAACATTGATGTTTAAATTGAACACATCACAAGTGGCGGGTTAGGTGAAGCTCATTGCCTTTGTAAGGTGAACAATGAAATCATTTTTTTAAGCCATGGGGATAATTGCTTTGGCTTCCACAATAGCACCAACAAATAGTATTGTGTGATTTTTTTTCATGCTCTACGAAATAGAAGCTTGTTGCAATACCGAAAATCAGTTTCACAACCAAAATGTTGTGCCAAAAAAACTTTCTCGGGGACAGTCTATCTTGAGACATCCACATTCTATTCAAACACTTAAAAAAAAAAAAAATGAAAAACAATGGGTGAGAGGATGGGGAGTTTAACGTCCCTTTAAAGGGTCGAACGTCACTTGTTTTTTTCCTCTCGTTGCTCTGACCACCATGTGGAAGAAAAGCTTGTGCGCACAATATGGCCTACGAACGACCAGGGCACATCCAAAGCGGTACTTAGTGGAAGTATGGTGTCCGGAATGCATATCCGACTGGTGCATTTGCCGCAACCTCAAAAGTGGTCCTCGATTTTCGCTCGACGACGACGTGGAAGTGCCATGCCGTTGCCTGTCGCTATCTTCGCGACGACACAGCAGCAGAGATGAATGCGGCAGATGCCAGTACTGTTGCAGGTCGCTCTTCATATTGTCAGTAGCAACACCTAGCTTCACTAGCTAGGAGTTGCAACGCTGCGATGACGGTGATACTTGCCTTCCCTCATACCATTGTGCCGGAACTTCTACGACCAGCCAACCATGTTCCTTACCGTCATTTGTACTGCGCATCCTGTATGAACAGTGAGGCACACGCACTGAACGGACAAGTTGAAGACTCATTCTAGCAGGCACGAGAATAATTGAATCCTTTCGTGGGCCTTTTGAGCAAAGCTTGTGTTGACCCGGTTCCTTTCGTCCCACCCGCCGTCTGCAGGGCAGCCTGGAGCGGGTGCTGCTGTTCTTTGTGCTGTACCTGGTGCTGGCCTGCCTGCAAGTGTACGCCGCCCTGCAGCAGAAGCACCTGGTCACCCGGCTGTTCACGGCGGCCCTCACCCTGCAGCTGCTCTCCTTCCTCTGGACCATCACCCACCTGGCCTTCTTCGCCTGGGACGGGGTGGGCGTGCCCACGCTGGGCATCGTCGGGGACGTCACCTACATGCTCTCGCAGGTGAGCCCGCCGTCGCGCTTGTCCCACGCGGTTTTCGGCGAGAGGGGATCGCTGCATTACGAAAATTGGGGCGCTCGCAGTCGCATTTGGCCACTCGCAAGTAGCATTTGATCTGTTCCATTCAATGGCAATGGCAATCAAAAGCCTATGTGCATTTTAGATTTGACAGTGTTAAGTTTGTCCGAATTGCCTGCACCTCCTGCACTAGTTGCACTCAGGGCACACCATTTTTTTTTTATTTACGAGTGCACTCTGTCTTGTTCTTCATAATAACACTGGTTCATTATTAGGAAACTAAAGCGTCTTTCACACACTGTAGCTGCTTTCACAAACTCTACATGCTGTGTAGCATTGCTACTCTGGGCACGAATCTCATTGCAAACTCTTTTATAGGGCTGGCTGTACTACGAAGGCGACAGAATGCGGTAGCGTAAATTTTGTGTCGTGTCGCGTTGTAACTTGCCTGGGGCAGGTCTGATAGAATTTATTGGGGTTAAGGTCTGCAGTAGTTTGCCTCTCAAGATAAAGCAGTCCAGTAGCAGCGGAAGGATGGACAAATATAATTCCTTTAGCTGACTTCTACTCCTACTGTTTTACGTCATTGTGTATTCAAAACGTTAGTTCTTTCCTGGAGTTCGATTTTTATTTTGTGTTTAATTTGTTAACTTGTGCTCTTTCGGTAGTTCCTTTGTTCATTAAAATCCCCTCTCAAATAGACTCAGATTCTGAGAAAATTAATAAAACACTTTGTTTTTCCTAGCTTGTAGGTGTATGACAAACAAACAGAAGTGTATGTTGCAGAAAGTGTAAACTAACAAAACAAGGGATGATATGCACACCTTTTTCCCTCTAGGTGCATGTGTCAATTCTTGTCTCATTTTTTTATTCTTTCCTCATACCCTGTTGGTGTGCGTATTGCAGTATAAATGTTTTGATTATGCCTCGACTGTTGCCATAATTGAGTTTTACGGGCATGGTGGCTTCTAAGCTGCAAGCCTAACATTTGTAAGTTATCTTAAGCTTCCAGACAAAGGGTAATAAAAGCAAGATAAAAAATGTCTAGCTTCTTTTGACTAATTGACTTGTGCCTTCTTTGTACGACTCAGTGCCTGCAAACCCTAGCATTAGTATTTTTTTTATTGTCGCGACGTAGTGGCTGGCTATATAGTTATAATAATAAGTTTTATTTCCATGAAGCATGGTGGACCGAAGGATAAAAGCTTCAAAAGAAGCTTGACCAGTTCTTGGCCCCGTAGGAACTTCTTGGGTCGAGAGGCAATTTTATAAAAAAAAAAAGCATATCAGAATTTTTAAGGTTAGTTAAAGTTTTATGAAGATTAAAAAAATTCTAAAAAAGACCATTGCTAAACGGTAGGTGGGTGTGATTTAAAAGGGGACACTGGCTAGAGATTTAACTTCTGAACTACTCAAGTGATCGGAATGAAATTTGCAGGTGAGATTTAACATCAGATGTATGTGTATTGTGTAAACTTTCAGCTCTCTAGGACAATTTGACATATGTGCATAAATGTGTCACTCTTCGTTAAGAAATCTATTATATGCAAATGAAATCATTAAAGGGGTACTCCGCCGATTTCTTCGTGGTCCCCGATTTGCTTGAAATTTTGCTAAACTCGCCAAACAACATCGCCAAAATAGTATCCCAAATATTAGGTCAAAATAATTTTTTTTCACAAAGTTATTGAATTTACAATATTGGTCCTCATCGTTTTTTTCAAACTGAAAGTCTCTATTGGCAACAATGAAAAAGTGACTTCAGTGGAAGTGCAGGGGTTCACTCTTTGGACTGTAGAATTTGTTCTCAACTGATTCGAAGCAGTTTCATGGTGTCAAATGAATGCTTTGGAAGCTCGCTCCAGTCCCCGCGCTCCAGCACGGAACAAATGATTGGTATATTCTGTTTTTTAGACTGCTTGCCCAACTGGCAAGCTTACCTTCCACTGACGTCACGGCCCTGAAAAGGGCGGGTATATTTGAATTTTTGTTTTTGCATCATTTTCATGTGCCGATTTCACAATAACTATTATGAATTTCACGATACTAAATAGCATATCAGAAAGGGTAGAAGCCGGGGAGTCAGAAAATATATAGTCGGTTACAAGTCAAGAAGGTAGGAGAAGCTCCTCCCACAAGCGTAATGCGCCCGTTTCAAATCTCTCCGCAGTCGAAAGAAGAGTTCACTGGAAACGCTCCTTGTTCCGCTTCAATGGATTCCCACTTGTCTCCGATCCCACTTTTTAAGAAAGCGACCTTTGTATTCATCGGAGTGGGAACCGAGCCCCTGAAAGCAGCCTTTGTATCCATCGGGGGGGGAAGCTAATCCCCGAAAGTCGTATTTGTTTCCGTCGGTGGGGGAGAACTCTAATCTCCCTCTCGTGGCTTCCACAATGCTAAGTAAAAGTCGAAAGATAAAGCAAATATGTACAGAAAGGCAAGACCCCCCTCGCGCGTTGGCCGCGACGTCACGGAAACGGTGGGACGCTATTGGATGCGGAGGTGGCGGAGGGATATCTGATTCCCTTTGAGGGGCATTTGCCGCTACCTTCTTAACCTGTAACTGACTATAGTTAGTTGAGGTAGCTCAAAAATCGGCGGAGTACCCCTTTAAGCACCATTTTGACTGCTTGAATATAAAGTGGGCGATGTGGGCCTTTGGGCTATCTAGTTTTTGTAACTGAAATGTAAATATTTCAGGAAGAGTTTTTACCTCAAAATGTGAGATGCATAACTGTCCTATGTAAATTTTTGAAAACATTGTTTTTTTCTCAATGAGGACCTCAACTTAAAACAATATAAAGGAGATAGCCCTATTCCCCAGTAAATTTCAGTTAATAAACATTTTGATTGTGGTATCGAAATACTTTTACTTTTGAACAAAAGATTCCTTCATTTGAATTTTACAGCAAAAACGAACTGAGAAAAATGCATTCAAACATTGAACTCCCTTACTTTGTTACTGCCTCACAATCTGTTGAGAATATTTTGCATCAAGGTAACTATTTGGCATATGGTTATCAATTTTAGTGTAAGGCTGTATAATTAGTTTCTAAAACGGAAAACCTCAAATTTGACAAGTGAAGTTTTTTTATAAGAATTTGAAATTTAGGCCCATGTCCGTTAAGCATAAAAAGTTTAGTGAAGATTTACGAGTTGTATTCCTTTGGTGATAAATCGCAAGTGGGGCGTGTCAATCATTAAATGATGTGTTGGCTGTGTGCGCAAGCATGCATTCGCACTTAATACATTTCCCACTATTTCTACATGCTTCATGAATATAAAGAGTACTCCTGAGACTGCCAGTTGGCCGAAGAAAGAAATGTGTGAACACGTTAGTGCTATGTGTATGCAGTCGAAATTATGCAGAAGCCATTTTTGCCTAGTCTGTACATAGTGAGGATATGTTTTTATGTTCATTAGTTTGGTCTAATTTTGTTTGCGCAGACACAGATATACAGACCAAGCAAAAAAAATAGTGTGCTATTTTTCCTCTGTATTTAGGGGGAAAAATGCCCTGGTAGATTTAGCTCAATGCTCCAAAGACCAAGGCCAGCCCTGTAACACAATCTGCATTTAAAAAAGAAAAACAATCAACTTTTTGCTACAGTGTAGGAAGAAGTGAAAGCAATATAGCTGTTATTGTGCATTGTGACACCCACTTTTATGCATATCCGCTCTTTCATTACTGTGTCACACACAACACAGCGGCGTGGTCAGTGAAGTATGTAAGGAAGGGAACATACTGCAGACACGAGTGGATTGCTTCACATCCGGTAGCAGATGCAAACCGAGATCTACGGTGAAGAACACGCAGCGGCGTCCCCCACCAACCGTAGAAGACACTGCCGCCTGGTAAGAGCCGAGTGCACGCGCTTTGCCTGGCACCATAGGCGGTGTACGCACGAGAGCACGTGAATAGGAGTTATCTGAACGCCGACGTCACGAATGCAGCTGGGAAGTTCCCATAACAGCCATCGCCGCGATAACCATTCCGCGTTCCCCGTCGATCGCAGCCTCGGCGATTCCGAGGAAAAGCGCCAACCTACAGGTCCCAACGCAGCGGGTCCGAATTCAGGCCGAGGCGCCCACAATCTGACGGAAGCACTTTGCAAAGAAGGGGTGGGCCGTGTTACCGGGACACCGGTTGCACGGGAGAAACGCCCCAGGTGGTCAACATTAATCCCCTGTCCTCCGCCGGGGCGTGCCAGATGCCCTTCGTTGATTTGGCACGTAAAAGCCCCGAATTTGACTCTGGCGTTTCCCGTCGGCTGGGGGCCCCGGCCCGTCTTTGCAGTCCCTGTTCATGCTGCTGCTGCTGCTGCTGGCCAAAGGCTGGGCCATCACACGCACGGAGCTGACCTGGAAGCCCGTGCTCTTCTGCATCTGGCTGGTCTACAGCTGCATCCAGATCCTCCTCTACGTCTGGAACATGGTGGGCCCCGTCGCTCGAACCCGGTGTTCCGAGTCGTCGCCAGTACCGTAGAGTAACTAATGTCGAGCAGTTAATAGTTATTGAGATTAGTTGCATTTTCAGTGACTAAACACTTTAACAACACAACAGGCCAGTTCTTGATCGGCGGTTTTCGGGCAGAAAGAAAATTATTTTGAGTTGCAAATCGTGTTCTGGGTAGTTGGGCTCTCGTATGTCATGTACAAATAAAAACCTTGGCAAGCATAAATACCTGCGGTACGTTTCGAGTGACCGCAACATAACTTAGTTGCAGCGTTGGTGACAGATTTTAATGAGTTGCAATTGCGAGCGTGCCACCTTAATTTAATTGCTGTTCGCGAGTAGCTTTTACGCCTCTGGTCGTCAAACACCTGCGCGACGCAGCTGTCGCACGTCTTGTTTTTTTCGTGGAGCTGGTGTATTGTTGCTGCACCGGTATTCTGCAACAGGTGTCGGAGACGTGCGCGACATTATGAGACAGCTGTCGGTTTGCGGCGCAGGCTTCTCTGCTCCCTTTGTTCGAGTTCGAGCGACCGGGGGAGGATGTCGACACGGTTTGCCCACGTGTGTGTCGGGCTCCCATTGCTTTTTTTTTTTTTTTTCTCTAGAGAAAAAAAAAAAAAGCTAAGAAAAAAGGAATTAATAGCCCACATCACCGTCGGAGCAATGTTTACACGAGCGTCATTCCCTCTATTATAGCAGTGATGCCACTCGTGTAAACGTCGAAGTAACGGTGATGTGGTGACTGTCTAATTGATTCGTCGAAAATCTGACAATAATAGCATGGGGATGAGTTGGATTCTATGTCTTCGGAGCTTATTTTTGGTGGAATTTTGAGCATGGGCAAAGCCAGGGGAGGGGCTTATGGGGCTCCCGTGGACAAATTGTAACGGTTACAAGTAATTTTATTACTTCAAAAAGTAATCGGATTACTCTTATGATTACTGCCTAATAAAAGTAATCAACTGATTACAAAATTACTCCAAAAAGTAATCGATTACAAGTAATTTGATTACTTGTAATGCGTACAGTACAATTCTGGGCGCTCGTGACATTTATAAATTTCAGTGAAAAAACACTTATCAACTTACAACACAGTCTTGTTTTTGTTTTTTGCTGACAAGTAAAATTTGTTGTAATAAATACTGCAGACATCCACAATGCCATGTCTTGGCTTGGCAATGAACCTCTTGGCGAATATGTGCTGCCACCTAGACACGCGACTGGGTTCGAGGCTAACTGGGGAGAAAAAAACACACGCACAAGGCCTCTCCCACCCGTTCCACACCCAAAACGTCAGCTAACCCAGGCGCTGTGACCTAGATACGGCTCCCCCAAACTCGCCTTTGTCCCCATCGTGCGTAATCTTCCGCCCCGAAGTCGACACAACGAAACCATCTTCCCTTTCTGCTCAGCCAGAAGGAAGAGAGAGGGTATTGGAACCATTTACTCTCGAACCAATGTTTCTACAAAAGGTCCATTATTAGGCCCAAGTGGATTTCATAGAAACGTCAGCTTTTCTGTTTCATCTTTTGATCTAAGCAACGTTGCACTCACAAACGTTTGCATTCTATCACCACTGCCGGTGTCACATTTACATGGGAGTTACAGCTTTCTGCTCTGCATAGTTCATATACCGTAGAATACAGAGCAACCGCCCATAGCACACTAAGCGCCCATACCCAAATTTGTAAGATTTGAGAAAATATGCACAGTACATTGATATGTAGAATTGATGACCGGACAAGTGCCCATCTACCATTTTTTCATGATTATCTCAAAATTTTGAGTGGGCGCTTGCCTGGTATTTTACGGTATGTGGGCCAGAAAACTGCATCTCACTCCACACACACGTCCGGTGTAGGAGTTCTGGAAAGGCCATTATCCTAAATTTATACCACAGTTTAAATCCTCAATTACTGAGCTGGCGGTTGTCTCTGGTTGCTTGCAGACGGAGGTGGATGTGATAGAGGAGATTGACGAGTACCAGACGTACCCGGGCTGGATCTCGCTGTGTTTCCGCCTGGTGGTAACGGCCTGGTTCCTGACAGAACTGCGGTCGACAATGATAGACGAGAACGACCACCGCAAGCTGCGCTTCTACCTCCACTTTGGGGCGGGGCTCCTCTGCTGGTTCGTCTACCTGCCCGTCGTTGCACTCATTGCCCTCCAGGTGTCGGCCCTCTGGCGGCAGAAGTTCATCCTCGGTGAGCAGAACTGTCCTTCGTTTTGTTTTTCTTATCAGACACCCGTTTTTTTTTGGGGGGGGGGGGGGGTTCTTTTTTTGCAAGATTTTTGGCTCGGAATTGAGAGGTGTTAGGCATAAATATAGGAATTATGTTTGAGGAGACTTTGAAGGCTGTTGTCAGTTTGTCACAAACACTAGTTTGTTATGAAAAGGCATGTCTTGATGCTATCTGATGAACTTGGAGACTCGCGGAATGTGTTGCAGACCAGCTGGGCACATTGTATTGTTGGAGCTATTATTTGCTAGAATTCTCTTTAGATCTTTTCTGATGACTAGGATCTGTTAGCCTGTTTTATCATGCTGCGTTTATGGAACCACACGCAGAATGTGCCCCGCTTTGAGTTTATCGTACATTATAGAGACATGCTGCACCTCCTCCTCATTGTGACATTGCAAATCGAAAGCTTCCGCCTTTGATTTACAAAGCCACAATGGAGGTTCTCAGTGGAGGCTCGCCTTCATTCTGCTGCTGAGTCTTGCGTTTGTGGTAGGCCCTTCAGCATTCGGCATTACAGTCTAAGCTCGTTATAACAGACCTCGATTTTGTTCAAGATTTTGGTCTGCTGTAAAAGGAGTATGTTGTATGCAGATATGAAGTTGAGTCAATGGTACATAGAGGGAAACCAACCGAAGTTCAGAAATCGGTATGTTATATCCAAATGTCTGTTGTAACCAGGTCTGTTGTAATGAGCTTAGACTGTAGTCTGCTTCACGGGAGCCACTTGAATGCACCAAGTGTGTCCCGCCGCTTCATCGTATATATTCGAAATGCACTTCGAACTTTGACGCTATGATGTCATGCGACGTCATGATCTTGCGCGACGTCATAATCTCGCGTGATGTCAAGTGACATTACGACTGAAGTGGATCCCGAATTTATCATCAACAATGAGGTGGTGGTTCAGCGTCACTCGGGCATAACTCTCGGGCGTGACTCTCAGGTGCGACTCTCAAGCGCGACTCTGGAGCGTAACTGGAGCATTAAGCGCGATTTAAACAAGCTCGGTTTTTTTCGCGCTTAGGCCGTGCGCTTCCCAGAAATTGCGTGTTTCGTGTTTTTGCTGTTTCCGGGGCACTTTCCGAGTCACAACCATGTACGTTGGTTAGGACGGTGCGGATTCGGGCAAGCGGAGAGCATCTACACCAGACGACGAAAAAACGCAGAGCTAGAACTAGTGCCCTCTACCGATTGGCCGGGAGAGGAGTGCCCTACTATGTCATAGCGCGTTTTCGTGCGCCTTCAGAAAAAGTTGAAATCACGAAATGCGCAATTTCCGGAAGCCGCACGGCCTATGGCGCACAAAGATTCATTAATTTGGATCGCGCTTGACTCTTCAGCATAACTTATGAGCATAACACTCGAGCATGATGTGTCGCTTCTCTCACGTAACCCAGCCCTCTAACACATTCTGCGTTAAACTCTGTGGTCCTGTTTATCTCCACGCACACATTCGTCCTTTCCACTCGCATGCTGCACTCGTCGTCCGCGACAGAGCCATTTTTCGCGTCCCCGCAGGCATCAGCTCGTGCGCCGACTTCCTGGCGTATGCCATCATCGCCCATCTGCTGTGGCCTACCCGGAGCCAGCAGTACTTCCAGCTCCAGTCGGAGCTGGACCCCGGCGACGAACTGGAGGAGCTCAACGAGGCGCCCCACAACGTGCAGCCACCGCCCCCGCGGCTCCGAAAGGTCTAGACCGTTCCGGCCGGGGAATGCACCTTCCTCCCGTCCCCCTCCTCGCACCGCGGGGCACGCCCTCTCCTCCTGCACCTCCTCCTCCTGTGCGGGGCCCACGCCCCCGGACGCTCGGGCTTTGCCACGTGCCTCGTCGTAATCTCAGTGAGATGCCGCCTCAGTATGTCCGCTTCCCTTCGGCATGCACTATACAGAGCTGGTAGTCAATTTACTCGTTCTCGTCGAGAAAAAAAAAAAAAGAATGAATTCGGTGGTGCGAAATGTGCGTTGCAAAAGGTACTCGCGCAGCAGTAAGACCGCCGTAACGACTGCTGATGTGGCGTCGCTGCGAGCCATGTATAGTCTGTTACGGGTGAAACAAAAGAAAAGTGGAACAAGCTCTTTCCACAAAGCCCTCCACACTTTTCACTTTAGCGAAGCAAATGCTGGAGTGGATAAGAGGAAGCTGCCGATGGAGGCAAGCAGAGAGCTTTGTGGGGTTGGCTCGTCCCTCTTTTCTGAACCTGTGACAGGCTACAGTCTCTTTTCCCGCCTGTCAGATTCGAGACGCCGTAACTTACCTTCTTTCGTCTCGCCGAGGTGCCCAGCCACTGGTACGGGTGCTAATTAGTTTACACGAACGCTGCCTCGGGCAGAACGCTGCAGCGTCTAAAAGGTCGACAACCCATCGCGCTACCGCTGTAATGGAGTGAAGCAAACGGAATAGAAGGAAATCAAATTGCAAGGTCAGCGCCTATGCGCAGCCATGGAAAGGCTTCCGTAATGCACACGCGCGGTACATTCTTGGTTGCACTCGTTCACTCTTCGTTCTTGGGGGACGACCAACATCTACGGATGGCGATGGGCTAAGATTGCAATCGAAGCTCCGCCTCCAACACGCTCCTGTCGCCTACGTCAAGCTTTGGTTGCGTGCAAGATGAAGTGTCATTGAAGGCGGAAAGCTTGCTCCGGGGGCGGAACATCTACTGCATCCTTAGCCTGTCACTGACTTCAGACAGCGGGGCTCTAGGGCTGGATGTAATGCGTCGCCCATCGGAGGTGCCGGCACGGGACGCTGGTCAGCCGCTAGCGCTGTGTCAGCGTTCGGCGTCGACTTGCAATTTCGCAAATTGAGCTTCCCCTCCGGATGTGGCAATTATGTCCGACGTGTGCCCAGCGCAGAAAATCCAGGACTATGGCACTGTTGTCTAGGACATGTTTAAACAACAGTGGGAAGTTGTCAATTTACAACCAGCAGATCGTGTTGCCTTTTGTGTGCATGTGCAATCGCATTTCATGATCTGGTATTTTTTCATCCTTTATTTTTTCAGTTTTGTTTTCGCATGTGTGCTGACCGAAGATGCGTTTTTCTTCGAGGATGTTATTTTGCAATTGTGTCAATTTTTTTTGTTCATCGCTCTAACCTTGTTTCTTTCTTTACGTCAAAATCTGAGTTGCTGCCATATTTAAAAAAAAGAAAAAAATTTAATTGGCACTTGGGGTTACGCTTTTTCAAATTTTTATTGCATTCACAAATGCCCGTTTAGGTTCTTTCTGTAAATGCTGCGACGATGGTGGCGCAATGCCAAGGTCAAAAACTTTGCACCGATTATCGTGGTATGCACAAATTGCCAAGGAGTTGTATGCCGTGCATACATTCATTGCAATTCATTAATTGTATTGACCTTATAGTTATACTGCAGTTTATAGACAATGGCATTGCTCTGTCATGGCTTGCCATTGGTGCATGGGGTAAAATTAGATTGTATTGATTGAGTAGCCTGTTTTCTTGATTTACTGCATGTGTTACTTTCAATGGCACATACAGCATTGCTTGAGTTTTACTGCATTGTGGATTTTGGAATTTGTTGGCCGGTGTGCTCATGCCCCTGTTCCTTCTTATTACCCTCTCACCTATGCTGTCTAAGCGACTGTTTCATTCAAAATCGATCACTACTTTGTTTGAAAACATGAATGCATTTCTGCCATATGTCCTGTTCTAAAAAGGGCGTGTTCCTTATTTGCTGCATTTCCTTCTTTACAGGGCATAGAACGTACGTAAGTTGCTTGGGCAGGGCTCGAGATGTTTTCTTCGTATTTTCATTCATGTTTTGCCTTGGCGTCGGAGCCCCTAGTTTGGTTTCCGACCTCTGAGCAGGCGTTGCAGTGTGTGTCGGCGGCCAGCCACTGACTCTCCACATTTACATCCTTTCAGCAAACTAACGGGATTCACGGAATCATCCTTTGCTAGGGACAGCCCCCCCCCGCTCCGTGCCAACAGTTCTGCACCATGCTTCTTTGTTACTGTTTTTTTGTTTTCTTTTGCGGCTACCAGCACCATTTTGGCGAGGATTTTATTCTCTCCCCACATACGTCGAATAGCACTGTACTTACGCGACCAAGTCGATCCGGGAGACAAGAACGGATTGCCATTGCAAGACGAGGTGAAGAGAGCCTTCGGCAAAAGGGCCACAAGATGCGTTGAGAAATGTCGCGCTGTCAAGCAGTGGCGTAGCTAGGCCATCTTGCAGCCGGTGCCCTTTTGTCTTTTGTAACTCCCCCCTCCCCCCCCCCCCCCCCCCCTTCACTCTCCGAGATCACAACCGACCAGTAAAGCGGGGAAGGGGGGGGGGCCGTTAGAGGTGGGACCCCCCCATGTGACTGGGCCCCCGGCTGCTACGCCACTGCTCTCAAGTATTAACTACTAGTCGAACGTCTCTGTATTTACAAAACAATATACGCGGAAGAGCTGTGATGTTTTAGTTTCTCTTTCTGTGTGTGATCGGATGCGGAAGTCTGCATGTTCTCGTGCAACAAGAATGCCATTCCATTATACTTTGTGTGCTTTTTGCAGCTGAGTAGTTTAGTTGTTGCTCCTAGCTGGCGAGCGCTTTGCTTAGACAATTGCTCGTGCGCTGGCTAGGCCTTAGTGAGACAATCAAGGATTGGAGTTAGTGATCGGTGTACTTTTTCTTAGACTAACCTTTGCATCATCTCTGCCTCCGGTTTGCCTGGGTATTGCATAGTAGTAGTGTTCAAGTGTTTCTGCTCCATAGCTCTACAGCTATACAGCCTCTGCTCTATGGCTGGTTTAGGAGTGAAAAACTTGGATGGTGTAGAGATGAGTTAGTGATTTGCTCATGTCGATCAGCTTTTTGGGTCCGTCATGCAAACTTTGGCCGTTGCTGCTTCCAAAGCGAATCTTCCACCGTGTTGGATATGATGCTCTTTTACTAAGAAAAATATTTCTCTATTTTTAATGAGTAACCACCGTATGTTTTTCTCGTAAGCATTATATGCTCATGTTTTGCTGGTACTTCAGGCCTTGTAATATTTATAAATTATTACACTCGTTGGTTTATGACACTCTTTCTTTCCTGTTTCAATGTCATTGTTTAGTATCATGTAAATAAAATTTAGTGACAAGCCTGATCAAGACTGCTTTTACTTTACTCGTCGGTAGATGGTTAAACTGGTTGCACAAATTTAATTTTGCTAAATATCTTTTTTGGGCACCTGGTATGACATCTGTAGCAAATACTTTACGAGGGGGAATACAGGACACTCCCCGCGAATACAATGGCCTCGGGGACGACAGGTTTTGCGCGCTTTGAATGGGTGGATGTGTCATGGCGTTGCGGTTTTTCCCTTCAGGATCGGATGGTGACTAGCGCCGTCTCTCGGTGCGGGATATTTTACTACCGGCCGAACTTCTTTCGGTGTGTGCACGCTCTTCGGTCGCGGCGGCGTAGGTCGTCTGTTGAATTTAAAAACCAGCGGACACTTCATTGGTGACTTATTTAAAGGGCGCGTATACGTAGGATGACCTCTATGTCTACGTTGTGTTACATAAACCGCACGCCCATCAGCGAGTATCGAAATTTGTACGGGCGGTTTTGAAAGATGTTCCAATAAGTGTGGTTAGTCGTAATCGCACTTCAAAGCGGTACGTTGCAACTAATATTAAGGAACCATGTCGACACGAGAAGCACGTTTAGCAGGCACAGCAATGTATTGTCATATACTTCACAGCAAAGTGTTTGCTACTATGATTATCGCTAAGATGCCTGAGAAGGCACTTTGAGTAAAGACCCTTTTTTCGCGAGCTCGGTATGTCGAGCATTTTTCGAAGTGGTGGTTTCGGGAACGTCTGACTGGCGCAAAATTCTGATATCAGGAGTGGGGTTCTGTGTATTAGATATGAGACGGTTCAATCGTGTGATCCTTTTCTCGCTATTTTCAAAATGCGAGTAGGTGGTGCTTTGCAGCAGCCCAAGGCAACAGAAATAAAAATATTCAGAAAGATGGGAATATTTTTTTATTACTACGTGTATAGTCAAAATTTTTCCTAATACACCATGCTGGCCTTGAACAAAGTTGGTTTGGATTATTTTAGTATTTCTACAATGATAATTGAAGGTGCGAACTCAGATTCCACTCATAAATGTCATTCGACAATTCTTTTTTGTTGAACAATATTTATTGCACATTGAGCAAATACGTACAACTTTGCATTCTAAAAAAAAAAAAAAAAAAAATCTCTGTTTACACAGACAATAACGCTTTGAACAAATTTATACAGCTCAGCATTCAACAGACACGGATCATATATATGTTTTACACACAAATTTTGAATTAGGTCAGCATGAGAAACGCGACGCCGAAGTTGTTTGCTTACGTGATTTGATCTGGAGGGAACCGAAAGAATGACAAGTTTTTGCCCTGCAAGGTCCGGTTCTTGCAGCGGAGAACGGAGCACAAGGTCCCTCCTGCCATTTTCACGGATTCTTTACAGCGGCGAACGCGTCATACTAGGTGCACTACAAAAGGACACTGTAGCGTGTCATCCGTCGAGAAGGACGCTGGCATCAACATGCAGTGACAGGTCGTGCAATGGTGGCCGCTGATAGTCGTCGCGCCCGGCCTAGCCAACAGGCCTAGCCCGGCGCCCGCGTGTTCGCCCGCCCGCGTTTGGCATCGTCGGTGACGCATATCAGGTCACGTGTTCTGGTGGGAGGAGGAAATGTGAGAGGAGGGGAGAGGAAATAGAGAGAGGGACACACCCAAATTATCCCGCGCCACCAGGGGAGGAATCGGCGCGGCCATCGCTCCGTCTAATGCAAATGAGCGGAGTGTCCTGTATTCCCCCTCGTAAAGTATTTGTCTGTAGTACAAGGTACAAGAAGGTAGTGAAACGAATCTCCTCCAAACCCTTCACTATACACGTTTGCAAGTCCGGTCTCAGGGCGCCGCCATCTTCCTCAGTGGGGTGCGCTCTCGGGAGCGGCCATAATCCGATTACGACGCCTTAGCAAGGCTTCGTAATCGGATTATGGCTCGTCCAAGCGCACCCCAGACAGGCAAGATGGCAGCGCCCTGAAGCCGGACTTGCAACATAAAAACAGGACAAGCTCCTCCCATTAAGCCCTCCCCCTTTCAATTTAAGTGGAGAGGTCGCTGGAGAGGAGAGGGCCACCAATCATGACAAGTGAAGAGCTTTGTGGGAGGGGTTTTGTCCAGTGTTGACAGACCAATCCAGAAGAGGGCTTCTGGCCGTTGCCCTTTTTAGTATTTGTGCCTTTGGTGCGTGCTTGCTTTGCCCACTTTCGGAAGCGACGAACATGTGCGTACTGTGGGCTGCGGATTTGTAAACATTGGAATGGTGCACAGTTATCTAATTCAAGCCATTATCATTAACTGTTGTCTCAATCAAAAGATGTGCAATTTTCTTTTTTAATGGGAAAGTGGGGCCAGTCTTAGTCCGCCTTCGATAACTGGCACGTTCCATATGTATTTGAGAGCTCAGTCGGCCGCCAGTTTCTTATTGAAAATGGCAGAAAATCACTTGTAATTTTTAATAAGATAATAGTTTGTTCTGAAGCTTTGAGATCTGGTCCGGACCGATAGCGTGATATTTGGACGGACAATGGGCGTTCGACAGTGCATAGTTTATTTCTGCGCTTAAAAAATACACTTTTTGGGGGGAGGGGGGGACTTTGTATGTTACAAAGCGAAATCTATCGTGAAAATGCTCCTTTGATGAAAGTTCAAACTTTCTACAAGCAGACGCCATTCTTTTTTTTTCTTGATGGTTTACAGTTGGTTTTTTAATGTTACAATATTTTTATTGGTGCTGGTTGTTTTAATATGTCTGCGTGCGCAATGCAGGCCAACTCGTCTTCACCTCGCGAACCGTAGTAAAAACTTAAAGGACGCTTAAGCTTCGCCTTTAAGGGTCACTGCAAAGAAAAAAAGTATTTTTTAACAGCCTAATTGGGACAAGCGTGTCACAAAACAATTTTTCCCACAAAAACAAAATATTTTTACACCAAATGTTTATTGCGCCGGACTGATTTTAGGTTGCGGCTATTTCGTCCGTTTTAAATCGCATCCCACAAAGTTGGTATTATATGTCACGGAGTGGCTGCTATGCGTCACGGAGTGACGTATAGCAGTGGCTGGTATACGTCACGGAGTGACGTATACCAGCCACTCGGTGCACGTCGAAAGAGCGGTAGTTTCAAATGTAGAGAGGTTGCGACTCCGACTAAATACGTCCTGTGACCTAAATATTGCTGAAAAAAAAAAGAAAAAAAGTTTTTTCGCTGAAGATTTTTTTTGTGACATGCATGTCCCAACTAGGCTGTTTAAAAAAACGTGTTTTTCTTTGCAGTTATCCTTTAAGAGTGGAACGCAATAGCGAAACATGTGAACACAAACTCCCACTTGTTCCCAAGCCGTGCAAGCGTGCCTCACGTGGCCTAGTCTGTAGCCAAATAAGGCACGCTTGCACAGCTTGGAATTGGGAACAAGCGGGAGTTTGTGTTCACATGTTTCGCTATACCGACTAGGCAATTAAAGCCGTGCAAGCGTGCGTTACGTAACCTTAATAGCGGAAAAAAAAAAAAAAAAAAAAAGCTTAGTCGGTTACGTGTTTGGCTCGCAACCAGAAAGGTGTGGGTTCGAATCCCGCCTAATATTTAAATTTTTCTTTAAAAAAACATTTTTTTAACAGCCTGGATACAAAAAAAAAAAAAGAAGTTATAAAATAAATTGACAAAAAAAATTGAAGCTATATTTATGGTGCGAAACGAATTTGTAGTTGGCAGTGCTTGGGACCCGCGGAAAAGTGTCCTTTATGGTCATGTGACTGGCCGCTATAGTCACGTGGTGTTTGCGCTCTTTCGGGAGCTTCGGCTCCGGCATAAAGCAGGGAACACATGAGCGACAAAAATGGGCGTCGTGCGGTGATTCCCATTGCAACAGCCCAGTACGCTGTCACTGAGCTGCCAAGCCTCCACGCAAGGATTTGCTATTGAGCAGGAGATCGAACTATAGGGGACGCTCTGACCCGTTTGTTTTCCCCGCGCTCGGTGTTTACTCAACACAAGGCCTGTGCACATGCAGACAGGCCTTATGGGCATGTCTATGTCATCTACAATAGAGCGCAGGGCAGAGTTTAATGTAAAAAAACACTAACGTTAAGTGCCGGATCTATCCCGATAGTAGTCGTTAGAGAATGCGAGCTTGACCCACTTCGGCTTTTGTGCTGAGCTGGGACCGTGCATGCTGCATTGTTCATGCAGGCCGTAGTGGAAACAAAAGAGCCCCTCCTCCCCCTCACCTCACAAATTCAGTTGGCGCCGTAAATATAACTCCAATTTTTTTCCCCTTTTGTTGCAATTTTTTTTATGACACCCTTTTCCCATCGAGGCTGTTAAAAAAATGTTTCCTTTGCATATGTATTTTAAGGCAAATTAATCACTTTATAAAGTGAAATAATTTGAGACATGCTGTGACCTTTATTTCGCATTACACGTATTTTTTTTTTTTTTTCAATCACTTCCGTTTCCACGTGTGACCACGTTTTACGTGAGCGTTGTGGATTGTTTGAAATTCCCGCGCGAGTTCATTTGGCAGTGGCGTCATGACTCTATCGACCAATCCTGGATTTTAGCGCACGCCAAAAATGTCCGGCTCCTCGCGGAGCATCACTAATTTCCCCCTTTATCTAGAGAATTAAGATGTACACGCTTCAAACGCCAAAAGCATCGCTTCTTCCTCCGACAACCACGTCTGGTAAGAATTACTTCGCGCGGATAGTATGAATGAACAACGCGCAAAACTTTCTTGTTTCTTGAGGTGAAAACGAGCAAAGTTTTATTGCACCGTATTTCTTCTACCCTGGGCTATTTATCACCTGTCCTTGTACGTGTTTCAGTGCGCGTTTTTAACTTTTTAAATAAATCAGGGTGTCGAACCGGAACCGAACCGAACCGAAAACCGGAACCGAACCGGTATTTTTTCCGGAACTGAACCCGAACCCGAACCGTTATATTGTTATCGCGATAAACCCGAACCGGAACTGAACCGGAAAAAAAAAAAAAATAACGGTTACCGGCTCATGTCAAAACGGTTCGGCCACGCGCTGT